CTGCTGCAGCCCTCAACTGCTCTTTGCCAAGGCGCGCACCAAGCGCTTTCAGGTATGTCGCCCCCAACGTAGTTGCTGGACTCATCAACCTCCACCTATCCATGTGGATCAGGTGGCGTCGATCGCCCTTTTCAAGCTTCTGTTTGCACTTCGAATGCTTGTCCTTGCAGACATGGTACACTGCTGCTCCTTGAACCTCATGGTCCATGTACCACTGGTAGTACTCGTCAGAACACTCACCATGGTCAGCGACAAGCAAGCCAGCCGCCTCGTCTTCCCAACTCTTCAGGCGTATCACGGCTCTCCCTTGTGCTGTTCCATTTGCCTCATAGGAGCTATACTCCAAGTATCTGCCGCTTTCCATGGCCTCCTGAGCAATGACCAGGGCTTCTGCTCCCAGGTCACAGGCGTCCACCCAGGCAGCGTCAGTCGCCGGCCTGCCCAGACGGAGTTGTGTATGGATTTCATCCGGAGTCAGCTTAAGCTGCCGTCCATACTCTTTTAGTGCCTCCATCACGGCAACTGGCCACAAGCTACCTGTCACCCCTAGGGGATCTCAGGCGCCTGTGGCCTCTTCACACGTTTCGGGTGCTACCCACCGGGTGGGCTAGCACCCTAAGCTCCGACCCACTGTGAGCCGAAACTGCGCAGCAAGCTAGGACGTGCATAACCCTCCTAAAGGATCCATCATATATATATACACATAACCAGCAAACTAGGGAGTTTTACCATCAAACGATGGAGGCTATACGGGTTTGGACTGGTCCAATCCGATGGGGGTTTTACCCTCAAACCATCCCCAAAAGATCCTTTCAGCCCATCTGGCCGTGGCAGCCAAAAAGTCACAGTTCAACTGGGTATAAAAGGACAAAATCAACCTAAAAAAAAACTATGTGTAGATATCTATGTATGTTTGCATATATATATATATATACATAGGATGTCTCTGCATACATCTACATACATCTACATACATCTACATACATCTACATATATCTACATATATCTACATATATCATATATATATATATAACTATATAAATATACTGTATATATAATGTATTGTAGACAGTGTAGAACCTTGAAGATATCAGAAAATCCACCATCGCCTCAACGGCTCGGGGTCACTGTGGCGCTCTTCAGCACCTCGAAAAATGAGGAGGTCACTAACAAAAGTCGCTGAAAATGGTGAGAATATATGGATATATATATATGTACATATATATATAGTGGATTTTCGCTATAATGGATATGTGGTATATATAATGGATTTATATACGTATGTGTATATATATATATATGTGTGTGATTATTTATATCGATTTATCATGATTCATCCAACTTGTTGCGCATGAGAGATGCTGCATCTGATGCTCGAATTCAGGAGGATCTGATTTTCTATCCGAGAACATCTCGGCATGATACAGGGGCGCCCGGGACCCATGAACACTATCAAAGCCATTTGTGGACATTGATCCATCCATTGACAAATGAGATTCGAAACCATAGGATTTGGGGTGTAATTTTCACCACTGACATGTGACGACTGTTCCATGTCAGACATGTTGCGTGCGGAACATATTGACACATCCCCGGCCACTCATATTGAAGGAAAATCCACCGAGAAGAAATGGCATGACATTGCGATCTCCCCATTTTTGGTGCTGAAAAATATCCCTCTTTCTGACACTGGTTCTATGGGTTGGTCTGAAAAAATGGGGATTTGTTTGATAAAATCCTATGGGGTATCATCATTTTCCATATTAAAACCATGGCTATAGATATATAGATATAGATATTTTTTACATATAGATATAGAAATAGATATATAGATATTAAAATCCTCAATATAAGTACATATAGCTACAGATATTAAAGACATATAGATATTACATATAAAAAATTAGATTTTCCATATTAAACCATGGCTATTCCATTCTAAAATCCTCTGTTGATGCGAAAAAATCTGGGCTATCCTCTGGGCCGTAGCTGCGCACGGCGGCCACGGCGCCTTGCCATCGTAGTTGATGGATTCGATAAAGATCTTGTCCTATCAACGACGCGACCGTGTCGACTCACTGGAGATCTCCGGATCGGGTTTTCTCTAGTTACCAAATGGATAGATATATATATATATACATAGAGAGCGAGAGAGATATATAGGTATAGAAACATATATATATATAGGTATAGAAATAGATATATGATTTATATATAATTAGATATAGGTATAGGTATAGAAATAGAGCCCCAACAATTCTCCGTCTCTTTTTCTCCCGTGAAAAAATGTCGAAGACCTCGCCTTGGAAATGGCCAGGTCATAGAAGCCGTACCTTGGTGCAGCGAGATGATGCGGAAAAAGGGAACGTGGCGGGGCCACAGATGGAACTGACGACAGAGGAACCAGAAAACATGGGAAAATATGTAACAATCCATGGTAAAATGATGTAAAATGTATATGTCATTAATGGGTAAACTAAGAATTATATAGTAATATAAGGTTCCTATTGAATAGATGTTTGTTTTTGGTGGACACTCCTATTTCATGGTGGCTATCCAAGTATAATTCATAGGGAGTATGTTGTCCACCAACGGTCCAAGGTAAATCCGGCGCATCGAAGGGCAATTCTAAGGGAATGTCCAGAGATGGACATTAAAATTGCTACTTGGATGTGCATCCAACAAGGCGTCACTGTTACATCATAGCAACTCGTCCAAAAGATAGAAAATACCACATCTTACCTGATGTCGGGCAGCCAAATCGTTAGGCTACCTTCCATCATGTCTTTTAAAAAATCCATTGAAATCTCATTTACCTTCGGGTAATGAAAGACGGCAAAGGAAAATCCTCCATTTATAGATGATTTTCCTATTTAGGTGCTAATTTATGAAGGATTTCCCATTCCCAGTTTGACTACCAGAGGGTAAAATTCCAAAAAGAAAAACTAAAACACCAATCTTGATCACCACAAAATGAGGACATGTTCCATTCCCGTTTGGGTTTATCATGGCTTATCCCAAAATAGGCTACCCCAAAATCCCTGACGAATTTTGGCTTTTTGTCCATTATCTCACTGCCCCATCCTATTGCTCACATCTTGTTCATATCCATTTTATATCCCGTTGTTTTCCCCGCAAATGGCTTTACTTTTGTGAATATTCTTTATCCATACAATGTATGGGACCCCCCAATGTTGCAGACTTGTTTATAAACCGACTCAACCATAGATCCATCCAACATAGATGCCTTTGGAGTTGTGAACCAACGGAAACCCATCAAACAGGGGCCCCACATTGTACCCTCTGGTAAACGTTTACATTAACTATGGAAAGAACCACCATTTTTTAATGGGAAAACTCCCTGTTTCAATGGCTATGTTCAATAGCTTTTTGTAGGTTTACCAGAGTTTTCCCATTAAAAAATGGTGATTTACCAGAGTTTTCCCATTAAAAATTGGAAAACCACATATTTTCAACGGCAGGCACATTAACTTCGTTGTCTTTCAGGCAGTGCCGTTCACGGAACCAGCATCCAAGTCACTGGGCCTCGCCGTACCAATGCGTGCGATCCCATGGCGAGGCTTCACTCGTGATGCCTCCGCCGCCGCCCGTGACGATGCCTCGGTCCGACAAGGAGCTGGGATTGACAAATCGTCAAGATCGGTTCAAGATGTATATAACATTATATAACCATAGTTGGTTAATAGTGGTTACTAGTGGTTAATAGTGGTTAAGATCAACTGGGATTCAAGATGATTTAAGCACTTCATCTTGAACATCTGTGAATTGATTGGAAATCGAGGAAAGCATGACCTTTTGCCGTCCTTGGGAGGTCGATTTTCCCTGGATGAAGCTGCTCGAGGCCGACCAGTCTTGAACAATAGCCGGGATGGGTCAAAATCCTGGTTCTTTCCCCGTAGTTCACATACGTTCACATCATAAAATGGCCGGGATTCAAAGGATGTTCATCCCGGCTGGAAATCCCGAAAAAAAAATGATGGCTTTTTGGTGGGTTGTTCATTGGAAAATCATCGAACTATGGTGTATTTCCAGCCATCCTTTGGTTACCGTCCCCAAACGGTCGGTTTCCTTTACCCTCTGGTCCTCTGGTAATGACTAACAGTTTGCGAACTTGAAAATGGCCATTGAAAAAGTGAGTTTTCCCATTACAAATGGTGATGTTCCATTGCAAAATGTTAGTTTACCAGGGAGTATTTGCCTTTCCCATCTGGGATATATAACCATAGTTGGTTAATAGTGGTTAATAGTGGTTAATAGTTGTTAATAGTGGTTAATAGTGGTTAATAGTGGTTCATAGTGGCTAATGGGGATAATCATGAAAAACCATATCACTTGATTTCTGAAAGGTTCAGCATCCGAAGATTTCCATTTCGACGAGGTGCACATCATACCGCCCAGCGCTCCCCAATTGGATCCCAGCTCCTGAATAGGATCCACTCATCGCTTCAACGGCGAAAAGTTTCGTATCCCACAGAAAAATCCCACAGAAATTGTCATTAAAAAAAACATAAAGTGCCCAAAAAAAGAGTCATAAAATTCATTGTTCAATCTATTTCGGAGTTACTGTTACTGTGTCTATCTTAGTTGGAGGGATCGTATCATTCACCTGAAGAACTCATCCCAGGAATCCAGGACGCAAATGGTTGCGAAATGCTGCACCAGGCAGCCTAACTCTTGGGATTTCATAATCCAAGACTGTAAATCTTGTGGGAAAAAAAAAAACTTGGATTTTCATGGAAAAAATGACCCATCTACCGGTGATTTTTGGAGTTCTTAACCATCCATTTTCCAGGTACCCAACTGGGGAGCCAGAAGAAAAAACTTGATCCGCCACAAGGCAATACCATCTTTAGGGAACTTAGCTTATAGATTTATGTATCTATATCTATATCTATATCTATATCTATATCTATCTATATATATATATATAACATAATAACTATAATACCATCTTTAAGCGGGAGAACCCCCCCTGGTCGCTATTGGTCCTGGTCGTGTCGATGCCCTGTGACCAAGAGGTCCAGTCCAAGTCTGGTGTGGAGGGAGCGGTACCACCTCGGTGGATCCATGGCACCACCGGATGGATGGTTTTGCACTTTTTTTAGGGAAAATCCCAAAATAAAATGGATATAGATGGATATAAATGGATCATGTTACTTGGGGCACCCCTAGTTAGATTGGACGCCTCCAAATACACAAGTTCGATGTGCAAGTTGGGATGGAAAGATGGAACAACGCAGAGAAAAAACAATGGAAAATCTCGGGAATTGAACGTCCATGGGGAATCAATCGGGAACTTGTGATGAGGGACCCGAAAAAAAAAAAACTGGCAACCGCTATCCCAAAAAATATGATGCGGGTGATAGGAGCATTCATGAGTTGGTGACACCCAGCCCTCTGCCAAGGTTGGGCCTTGGATATGGGAAAAACACTTCCGATGTACGTCCCTAAAAATTGGAGCAACAAATTTTTGGTGCTCTTGTGGCAGAGTCTTTCAGGAAAGAAACATCCTCGAAATTGAACTTAGACCCAAAAGCCAGACCCATTCAGGGCTCTGCATGTACTATTTAAAGGTTGATGTTTGGCAAAATGTGACATGTTGTTCCATTCAAATTGATAAAATGGTTCAATGATCAACACGGACCATTCACCCACCCTTTGACCCAGCCCATCTGCGGGTCTGATGGGTTTCAAGTCCTGGACGAGTCCAAAAGGCACTATTTTTCTGACTTGAATTCCCATATTACCACTTAAAATCCCTCAAAATCTCATCTTTACTGCTTAAGACCATACTTCTAAACTCTTCAATGAACCAAAAAATTACTCTTCACCTTCCCAAAGTTTCTTTTTCTTCGGTCTATCCCATTTTTTTCGAAATGTCAGGTTCCCCGGCCCGGAGTCATGGCCGCAGGGGAAGTGGGTCACCTCACTGTGGACTTCAGGTGGATCAAAAACTATGGAAGTTTCTCCCGCAACTCTAATTCTAGGGGAGCTCAAAAAACAAAATTTTATGATTATTGGATATGATCCTTGGATAATCGTATAACCCAAAATTGGTTTCATAATCCATAGTGCTTATGTATTGGATAGTATTGGATATGATTATTGGATAACCCAACATTCGTTTTATATATGTTGGATAACCCAACTTATGATATTCATCACTTGGAGAACCACCAAAAAACTGGGATTAAACCGGTCATACCCTTCTTGGGTGCGGGACTGGGGTGATTTTTATAGATAGAAGACTGGTAATTATCGTAATTATCAGGTGGGATATGGGGCCCCTATAAGTGTAGTGACATATGAAATTTCAACTGGAACTGCAACCCCAAGCAGGGAATTGGATGCAGTAGGCTCTAATGGGCGTAAACTCAAAAATTGGTCGCAAGCACTACCTACTTGCAAAGTAACGTGATTCTCTACACTCTAAGCAGACTTCACCTCTGCCACTTTGAATCCAAGAAAGTGGATGGTTTTCAATTTCTGGCGATCTGCATTCAGGTTGATCAATCAGCCACAATTCCATTGGTTCCAGCGACTCAACGAACAAAAAGCAACCGGCTTACCCGGACTCACGCAAGAATTGCCTACAGTTTTGCTATTTCATCCATTGCAACATATGTTTCATGACATTACTTGTTGTTATTGTTCAAGTTGCTTGCATCATAAGTTTAATTGGTTCTCATTGATGTTTGCATCACTTAAACCGGTTTCATGATAATTGGCAATGATCAGTGGTTATGGGTATCTATATTGTCCTGTTCTATTGTTTCTACTATTAACTATTGCTATTACTACCATTACTAGTACTAGCAGTAGTAGACGCACGGTCCGACGCCATCGTTTGCCCGGACTCGCAATGATCATCACCATCATCATCATCATCACCATCATCATGGGGACGTGGTGACTCACACGCACTGCCAGGGCTACGAGATACACACGCAACCCCATCATCATCATCATCATCATCATCATCATCATCGTCATCATTGGTAACGATGTGTATCTTTCAAAGGTCATGGGGAAGAATCTGGCATGTAATGATGAGGCACCTTCAGGATATCTCCCCCACACCCTAAACATGTATGATATGAATCTTTCAAAGGTCAGGGGGAAGATGGTAAGCTTATAATCATGCAGTTTGTTTGATCTAGTAGCTAATTGTTTTTTTCAATTGTGTGTTTTTCCGGTCACCCACTGCACCTCTCTGCACAAAGCCACAGCACAGCTAGTGACGGGGTTTCGCTCGGCTGGCGTGTACCAGTCCAAGAGGAGCTGCCACGCCCTCATACCCTGTTGAACCGCTATTTTATTGTACTGCGGGACGGCCAAGCATGAATGATGATCAATATTTCAACTTATATAGATGGTCATGGGATGCACATCAACATGTTTTGATTGTTATAATACGATATGTTTCAACGTAGCTGATCATGTGATGCGGATCAACATGCTTCGATCGTTGTAGTAACATATGTGTTGAAAAAGATTATTCATTAGGTGGTTGTGAAAGCAGAACACATATCCCTCATGTTATAATATACATCTAATCGGGTTACAGTTTCCACGTTTTCATATTGGAATTGTTTTGGTATGATGTAGATGGAAGATGTATGATCATGTTTTGCTGAGCAAAATGTCATGATATGGGTGTTAAGATACATGAACGTCTTGTAAATTCTTGGGCAGACGATGGTGTCAGCGCGTAGAAGTACTGTTGTCATTGTTACTCCCATTTTATTGTTCTTGGTAAGACAGGATGCTTAGTAACAAAATAAATTACTCTTCTATACTATGATACATTATCATTAGTAATCTAATGACAATAACAATAATCCTCTTAGAAATATATGGGTCATTCTTTGTTCCTGTCCCATTGGTCAACATGCTAAGTATCATTACGGCCAAACACCTCGTCTTGCCCGCGCCTGTTGGCCCGCCTTCTTGGTATGAGCTGAAAACATGGTAAAAATTGGATATTTTAGCATTATGGTTAACTTGATGTTCTAGATCAGAACGCACAGCAGAGGGACCTGTGCGGGTTCGTTCCACCACATCATCATCATCATCATCATCATCATCAATGAAGATCTTCAACGGATATAGAAGTTTAACCCCGGTGGGAGAATTAAACCCTTATTGAAGATCTTCAATGAATGTAGAAGTTTAACAGGGGTGGGAGAATTAAACTCTTATTGATGGCCTTCAATTAATATAGAAGTTTAACGGGGGTGGGAGAATTAAACCCTTATTGAAGATCTTCAATGAATGTAGAGGTTTAACGCGGGTGGGAGAATTAAACCCTTATTGAAGATCTTCAATGAATGTAGAAGTTTAGCGGGGGTGGGAGAATTAAACTCTTATTGAAGATCTTCAATGAATGTAAAATGAATTTAAAGTTTAACGGGGGTGGGACTTTTATATTCCCTAATACCTTTGTTGATCTTCCCAAGACAAGAAGGGTGTGGGCGAAACGGGGTATTTGCGCGTATCATTACATTATTATCGTTATTAGTAATGTACATTACCATTGACATTATTATTATCATAATTATTAGACTTAGTCTAGGGTCTTCATATCCTGATAATCAATTGTCATTATGATTATTGTTATTAATTATCATCATTACTAGTTGTTATCCCCCTTTTTATTGGCAATGGAGAGTAATACTGTCTTTATCAGCAATACTATTACTGTATTTCTATTATCACTTAATCAATATTATTATCAATATTACATACTTACCATCAATTATCATTACTATCAGTACTTTCATGACTATCATTACCAGAATACTAATGATCACTACTATCAGTACTATCATTATGAGAATACTAATGATCATTACTATCACTACTATCATTACCAGAATACTATCATGTCTAAATTAAAGAATATACTATATTACTATATTACCATAATACTATCATTACCAGCATATATACTACCATTACTATCATTAATATTGTTAGTGTCACTACTATTGTTTGCTATTAAATCATTACCAAATGAGTATCATGTTTTTTTTATAGTTACTATATTTTTTAGCATCATTACTAACTAAATTGTAATGATAATCATGATAGTTACCGGTACTGTTCTTCTTGTCTTATTTTTCATCACTAAACGTTGACAATCCCCGCTGGTCTCGCCCCGTCTTCGCGGTAAAATCCATCGCCGAGGATCCATGATCTGCCAATCCGCCTTGGAGTGCGCCAACTTGCTCTCCTGGTGTTTTTGGCGGTTTTTTGGGGGAAGCAAAATGGTAAAATGGTGGTTTTAATCGCTGTAAAATTTATCTAATGGGTAGGTTATGATGATTATCTAATGGGATTATAATACTTCTAATCAATGGTAAAATGGTGGTTTTAACCATTGGAAATGGTAGATAATCATCATAATCCCTCTATGATACCCAAAGACTCAAGGATTTTTCGTTTCTACCCATCTGGGCAGTGTGAAATAAATCCCTCTATCATTTCATATTTAGTCCTGGTGTATTTTAAAAAAAAAAAAACGTTCTTGGATTATTGTAACTGGGGTTTTGAACACTGCTCGAATGATAAGTCATGGTCTACCATCATGTTTCTTGGGTTTTTCCAGCTAAAAATCATGACTTATTATTTGATGACAAACTCTAATTGTTCATGGTTTTAGCTGGAGAAAAATAGAGATAACCAACAATAAGTCATGGTTTTAGCTGGGAATAGAGATGTCAATGGTAGACTTACCAAAAAATGGAATGACACCACTTGCTCCTGAGATGGAACCAGTCACTATCTGCTATCTACGTGACACACTGGTACGATCAATATTCCAAGCTCGCGGCAAAAGATCTCCAACTCCAACAAAGGGCTCTGCTTCCAGCTCCCAAAGATGGTTCAACAATCAACCCTTGCGATCCCCAATCCGGGCTACGTCTGGTGCCGATTCTTATATCCAAATAGCTGGTATTGCTGGTATTGCTGGAGCTTCGTCCTATACAGAAACTCATCAAATATCGGGTGACCAACTGGGCGCGATGGACATCCGTTGCTGTGGCATGTCCCAGCAGAAAAAGGATATCCAAAAAACCACGTCTTGGGGTTACGTGGCAGTTTCACAGGAAAACATCAACCCCTTGGCATCTTCAAAGCTAGCTCCAAGGGACAACCCAAGGTTTCTGCTCGGCATAGAGGCCCCAAAACCAAGCCTTGCAGACTCGCAGCTGGTTGCAAGGCATGCGTTGATCCAGTATCGTGTTGTTGGTATACATATACACATACACATACACACATACATGTACACATATATATATATATACAAAATACAAAATACAAAATACAAATAGATACACGTATAGATATACATATAGATATACATATATATATATATGTGTGTATATATATTTACATCATGTCATGTAATCTCATGTGATGTCATGTGATGTGATGTCACGTTCATGTCCATGTAAGGCTAGTAAGGCAATGTCATGTCACGTCATGGCAATGTGATGCCTTTGGTGTGTATGCATGTAATTACATGTGCATGTGGTCTGCTTCTTGTTTATATGTCCATCTTTCAATTGTATCCCATGTTCAACCTGGCAACTAGTTCTGTCTGCAGTATTAGCAACCCCAAAATGATAGAAATATAGATAAAATCATGCTGGAATAGTAGTAAACTACGGTAAACTACGGGATAACGATGAAGCTACGATCGTTTTCGTGTCATTTGGAGGTTGGAGTTCACCAACTTTCGGTTCCAGAAAATTCACGGGAAAGTCATCGGACGAAGTGTGGAATGTTCCATTTACCAACCATATCCATTATGATGCTGCATATATGCTTATAGTGTGTGTATATATATATATATGTATACAGCAATTTTTATCATATCATATCCCCATTATATCCCATTGATGATCATATTCCTTCAACAGTTGGCTGAATTTCAATAACTCACTAACTAGCTGGTAGGGAAGATGCCTCTACGCCCATTTTTCCGGATGATTCCACGGTCAGGTCCCAGTTCTAAGTTGGTTTGCCGGGATCATCCGTAAAGATTCTGAAAAAAAAACATAGTTATATGATCACTTAAAACTCATACACTTATGGCCCTTCATGCAATTATGTTCATGAAGAAAACTTACTCCAATGAAACCAACCGCTTACAGATACATATATATCATATATCATAAAAATAAACATGTTTTAATCACTGTGATGGGTTTTCATGGGTTCCTGATGATAATATCTTAGTGGTTAAGGGCCATGAAAACCCCTTCCCCGCACCTTGCAGGAGTCGACCGAGGCGGGGCCCCCGGTGGAGGCGCAACTGGCATCGGGGCGGTTGTGCTTGCGACCTAAGTGGGGCTGGTGGCTGGGGTGGGCTGGTTGGAGGGAAATCCTGAGATAATGGCCATTTATAGTGGATTTTCCCATTAAAAATGGTGATTTTCCATGGCTATGTTAGTTTACCAGAGGGTAACTGGGAAAGTGGGAAAGTGGGAAAATCCAGAAATGGGAAGGTAAGCCGATTCCTCAGATTCAGAGAAGGAATCATTCAAGAACATTGGCGATGTCGTCTACAAAAATTGCGAAGTTGAAGTAACGACCATGGGGTATTGACAAGAGGAGGATATCACCCTCAAATAGTGTTGATTGCTGGTTCTATGTTGTTATACAATACTAGACTTGGATGACAAAAAGTTCGGGGACTTGTTGCGCATAAGAGTTAAAGAACCAGATTCCAACAAAGTATAGGTACCTGTACATGTTTTAATGTAATGCACATAAGTGTGCATAGGCAGGCATATACGGTGCATCCATTTATCTAAATATATATATATAACTAAAATATATAACTCTATATATATATATGTGTGTGTATGTATAGATATGAATATAACTATAAATTTAAATATACAAACCTAAAGATATGAACATATAAATATATGAACATACAAATAAAAAAATATAAATATATACACTTCAATACATACATCTATAAATATATAAATCAGCGTGTTGGGGATTGGGGTCCATAAAAATAGAAATATATACATTTAATTTGCAAATATAAACATAATTGCAATTTAAGTATATATATTATTTATATATATATATACATTATACGTATATCAATATATATATATATATATGAATAAATAAATATGTAGAAAGATATGTATATATATACATAAATATATAAATATATAGTATAAATATATACATATATATATATTATAATATAAATAGATATAGATATACTGTGTGTGTGGAAGTGTGGGCGAGCACCTTCCAAACTACAAATGGAAATGTGGGACGCGGAAACTTTGGAGTCACAGTGCAATGTCAAAGCGAGTTTCCCAGGCCCCAAGCAGTAGAAGTTCGTGCCATGCAACAGTGGCTTTCTTGGCCCCAGAATTCTGGCCAGAAATTTGGAGCCTGCGGTGTCTTCCGCGGTGCTTTTGAAACCAAAATTGGACGCGTAATTTTTGGGGCCCAGAAGTCCGCATCTTTGGGAGACGCAGACTTTGGTAAAACCTGGGGTCGGAATGGCAACATGGCAGAAGCCATGGTACTGCGAGGCCCCGTTCACAGAAGTTCCCATCTTCAGAGCTGCCTTGCGTGCACCGCATCTGAAGAGGGCCCAGTGCAAGAAGTGAGAACACGGAGGTAGAAAGGCACATAGAGACCCCGTGTGGAGAAGCCGGGAAGACAATGCGAGCGGAAGAAACAAAGACGCTTGACTTCTGGGGTGTCTAGGCCCGTTGGCGTCCCTCTTCCCCTTTTGGTACAGGATTGTAATTCCCAAAGATGGTTTGGGGCCGCCCTATAAATTCTCAGGTAAGGCTCTCCATCATCATCATCATCATCATCATCATCATCATCACTAGTTCTATTATTCATATTAGTGTAGATTACTACAACATACTACAACCATCAAAATCATCTTAAATTCAATAAATCATCATCACCACAGTGTTCCCACTGTGAAAAACCATAGGGAGATTCCATGGCCCCAGGGCCCCAGGCTGCACATGTTGTGCTCAGGGTCTGATCCCGGATCCTGGCCGCGGCCGGTTTTTTCATGAAAAAAATCGCCATGGAATTCGCGGTGGATTTTTCACCATGGGATTTCACCATGGATTGGACCATGAAAAATTAGGAGATCTCCCATGAAAAAAATGGAATAGACCACGAAAAATTGAATGGAATGAATAGACAACGAAAAATATTGGAACTTAAGCATCAAAGATACCGGTTTAACTTTTTAACCATCAAGAATGGTGGCTTCACATTCAGAAAATGGGATCCATATATCTGACCAAATCAGAACTTATCCATCAACAACGGTGATTTAATCAAAAAGTTGAGGTCTGAGTGTCAACCGTTAGGATTTAATCATAATGAATCATGTAACCATCAAAAAATGGGAGTTTGATGATGAATCATGCCGTATTTACCATCAAGAATTGTGATTTTTGATTTAACTATTTAACCATCAAAAAATGAGAGTTTGACCAGCCGACCAGGATTGAATCATGAAACACTGAGGTTCGATCGAAAAGTCATCTACAAGGACGGAGATATGAACCCACCACCAGAATTTTTGGCTATCGGCCAGTCGAAGGGGTCCGGTTTCTGATCAAAATCTAAGCCCCCGAAAGTTCTGAGATGGTATAACAAAGACCGAAATTTGAGGGGACAAATTCTGACCCATCCCCACATTATTCGGAAACACATTGATGTCATGAGGAATAAATAAATAATTAAAGTACATCACATGACATCATTTCATATCATTTCCCCGACATAAGGCCCTCTCTTTCATTTTCAAACTTGATAGGGCTGTCTCTTAACTTCCCACTAATCCACCCATCCCTTGTATCAATGAAACAACCCCGGATTTGGGACTCAAATCCTGACAAAAATGGGGGCAAAAGTCCAATGGTTTATGAACCCATCAGTGATACCTGGGTGGGGTGTTTGTCAATCCACATACATAGACTATGTACAATAATATGACCCCAAGCAAAACTCCAATTGGGGATTATTTCTATGTCAACCACCAATTTCTGGCAAGTCATTTGAGCTATTTATTGGCTTTGCCACGATACCCACTATTGCCTATCCAACTTATCCAACTTTCGTTTCTGCTACCACCATAGTTGACCTGGTTTTTGATTCTGATTCAGCTAAAGATAGGGGGCACCACTCATTCAAATACCTGACCCACCTGACCCACCTGACCCACCTGACCCGGTCATTTCTTGAGTCCTTGGCGTCCATGGCATTGCTATCGTGCATGATGATGTCCACGTCAAAACCCAGGTCGGGGTAAGAGACGTGCTGGCTCCAATACCTCGAAAACAGGGGTTGGTAACTGTCCCATTTTGGGTTTATATTGGACATCACCTGAAAAAGTAGCCATCTAGTAGACCATATACCATTCATGGTTGGGTGATGTTCAATGGGGACATTTAATGACCCATGGAAGAAAATATGGGTATGGGTCAAAATTAGGTACCCCAAAATTATGGATGGTTAATACTAAACTAGACATTCACATCTGTGGTCCCACATCGGTCTTCCATTTTGACCCACATCCATATGGCCAACATTGTGGATGGAAAATAATGGAAAATGATGGGTTCCGCATCTTTGGTTTCAAGAATTCATACTCTATATGGATGTAACATGATGTGACTCGTTTGAAACGGTGAGTTCCAAAAACGAAAATCACCACAAGTTCTCATCAAGGTGAGTCGCAGCGGTGCTGCCCAAACGTCAACAAAAAAAGGTTTGGTACCAAAAACGGCAATCACGGTAATGATGACGGTCATCATGAAGATGATGATGATCATGATAATGATAATCACGATGATTGTAATCATGATGATGATGATGAGGAGGAGGAGGAGGAGCGAGGATGTTTGATGATGAGGATTATGAAAATGATGACCAGGATGACAGTGATGACACTGATGAGAATGATGACACTGATGAGAATGATGATGGTGCTGGTGATGTAATGCCGCTTGTGGTAGTGGTCCTTCCAGCCATCTGGTCCTTCCATGTCACGGAGCAGGCATCCTCCAGCGGTTCGAAGCCCAGGTGTATGCGATCTGCTGATCCTCGTCACTTGTTGGGAAAAATCCACAAGGTCCACAAGGGCCTAAAGTTGCGGATGTTTCGTATTTCGGATGCATAGATAGATAGGTAACAAGATCTTCAACAACTACACACAAACATTCTACATTGTAGAGATTCATGCAAAGATACATGCAAAGACAACTTTCATGTAACGACGTGTCGCAAAATGATGGACGTGTGGCAAGCATGTTCAATCTTTGATGACCTGAACAAGCAGGGACCGATGAAGCCGATCATGAACCATCTTCAGTTGGAGATTATTATCATTATTGATTATTATAATTGGATTATTGATTATTATTGTTGATTATTATTATTGATTATTGATTATTATTGATTGTTGATTATTATAATTAATATCATTGGCTTTACCACCTTTCAAAAACATCATCGTCAAAAAAGAACACCAAAAAGTGAGAGTTTCGCAATCTGACCCAAGATCGATGATCCAAGGGGCCCAGCCGTTGTAGAACTGGCGGCCTCCCCAGTCATGGTTCCCCAAGATGCTAAGCCAAGGCTTGTTGCTGAGACCTGCACCCTGGTAGATACCTGGCGCGGTTGCCTGGGATGCTACCCTAAAGTAGCTGCTATAGCTGCTATAGCTGCTATAGCTGGATTCCCCCAACTATAGTTACTACACTACTGGTTGGTGGTTGAGCCACCCCTCTGAAAAACATGAGTCAATGGGAAGGATGACATCCCATATATGAAATGGAAAATAAAAATCCTGTTTGAAACCACCAACCAGTATTATTATTACCATATGGAATTGTCATTGTACTATAGCCAGCTGGAATAATTCCAAGGTGGTCAATTCCATAATGGATGGTTCATAATGGGTGTTGACCTTTTTGAGCTAAGTGCGGTCTGACCCGGCCTTGTGGAAACTGGGTCCCCTATCCAGTTTAGGTAAGCGGAACATCTAACCCACCATGGAGCTTTGAACTCCTATCATCTCTGAAGTCAATGAATAATTGGTAAATGAATCATATGAAGAATAGCAATGATTACTAGTAACAATAATGTTCTATGCATACAAGCATATCATATATATATATATCATTTGTGTCCACAGCAAAAATCCACAAGCATGAGTTCATTAGATCCATTTGCCATGGTCAGGTCACCCTGGTGCACTTGCACGCGCATACATGATGCTTCGCTAGTAGAAGCTCACCAACACTTGCACACATATATGATGCTACGCTACTTGCAGCTCATGATGATATAATTGATATAATTGATAAATATCATGAATGGGGACCAAAATATGATGGTTTACCCTCCCATGACATTTTCCCAGCATTGAACCTCCCATCTAGCTGAGTTCGGAGGTCCGAGCCAGCTTTTGCTGAGTTCCCCATCATAGCACCCTGAATTTGTGGCTTAGATCACCATACCCTCCAGTAAATTAGGAAGATAACTATGGTTTAAGTATGCGTTAACCATGGTTTGACTATGGTTTAACTATGGTTCCACTATGATGGCCTTAACAAGTTTAACGCTTCTTAAAATGCGAAAATTCTCCATGGCAGAAATTCTGGTCGTTTACCAAGGTCCGACCTTCAAAGACTTGGTCGAACTGATGTCCTCAGCTGGAGCTGCAGGATTCTTCCCGCAGGATTCTTCCTGCAGGATTTGTTTAAGGGGCAAATTGAGATCAAAGAATCTGGTTGGTGGTTTCAACCCCTCTGAAAAATATTAGTCAGTTGGGATGATTATTCCCAATATATGGGAAAAAAATGTTCCAAATAGATGTTAGATGTTTAATTATGGAAAATTATGGAAGATTCATTATGTTATATGGAATATAATATATCATATTATGGATGTATTTGATGGTGAAATTCCATATAACATATCATGGTAGTATGGAAAACTATGTTGTCTGGATGTTCACCTCAAATATATCCAAATTTGAACCATTGCATTTTATGGAATTTCAACATCAGCATCCAGGCTATGGACTTTGGATCTGCAACCAACCAATTTTCTACACCGCTGTGAGGTTCTTTAATTTATAAATTTTGACCCATGAAAATTGGATTGACTGGATTAGTTCATCCAAATGGATTGAATTAGGACCTATGTACTTATGTAGCAGATCTCAACATTGGACATGTTCATCTTCTCCGTCCAAATTCCACTGAACTGATATCTTACCATGGGACATAAAATCAGCATCATCAACAGTCACATACCCTCTGGTAAACATACAAAAAACTATGGAAAATCACCATGCTTTTAATGGGAAAATCCACTCTAAATGGTCATTTTCAATAGCTTTTTGTAGGTTTACCAGAGTTTTCCCATTAAAAAATGGTGATTTTCCCATTACCAGAGGGTATCTTAAACAAACAATCCGCCCAAGCCCAGCTTCGTGCCGTGCCGGAGATCTGACTCATGGGCGTGCTGCCGCAGTCAATCTCAATACCACCCCAGTAGAAGTTGTCGCCCACATTCAGGATGTAGTCAGGATTCTTCATCTCGGCAGGCGGCAAAACATCTAAGAATCTTAGTAAGTTGAAAAAAAAAACACATGTTAGGGTTTCCATAGTCATGGAAGTGGCAACAAAACATAACTTAGGCTTGAAAAAAAACAAACAAATGAGGGGAAACCCATAGTCATGGAAGTACCCCCTTTATCGCTGGTTGAAGTTTATGACCAATGGAAAATCCATTGATAGATAGATGATTTGGGGGTACCCCCATTTTAGGAAACCCCCAAATATCATCACAGTATACCAAGGTTCATTTGTTGAAGATGAAATTTCATCATGAAAACAGTGAAAAACATATTTTTCATATGGGCTACATTGTGTTCTGCTCAAAACATGGTGTATATGTATATATAACTACAATAGGTTCTGGTCATCCCAACATCATGAACGGGATTCCTTGTAATGGCTTTTAAAATCCTGTGAATGGTGGTATGACCATCCCACAATATGGGAAATTCGGATGTTTCTGTGTTGACCATGCTGAGCTCCCCCGTCAAATCGTACCCACCAGTCAGGTGCATAAGCCCCAATTAATACCCTCTGGTTATGTCAAAATAGCTATTGAAAATGGCCATGGAAATAGTTGATTTACCTATTAAAAATGGTGGTTTTCCAAAGCTATGTTAGTCTACCAGAGGGCAAGCCAGCAACTTCTGTTTAGAGTTGGCTACATATCCGAATAAATATCCCCATTCATATCTCCATTGTGGTTATTATCCTGTTTGTACCCCTCCCAATTGTTGGTGACTAGTCATCCCCCATGTTCTAAAAAAGAAAACTATCATATTACCCATCATAGAAATATCCCAATTTGCGGCTAAAGGGGCGTGGATTTGCCCAATTATTCCCAGTCATGGTGGATGTCCCATGGTTGAATAGATCCCGATGGAAATCGATGACACAATCCCACTTTTGATCATGGCACATATACAGTTCCTATTGCCAAACCCAGGTATATATATAATATATATATATAGAGAGAGCGAGAGAGAGAGAGAGACACACACACACACAGAGAGAGTATATTGAAACATATTGAAACAGAAGAGTCTCTATTCGGATGGTAATTTTATGTAATTTGCCGATCATTCGCCTGTTCTTTTTCTATTGACTCCAAGCTACCGCAGCACGAGCCCTGAAGGCGTTCGCCACCAGGAATTGCGGTTGCATGTCCTGCAGATCGATCTGGAGATCTATGTGAAAAAAACGTTAGGAGATCTTGGGAAAATGGCTGTGAAATGCTTGTCAAATGATGATCTCTGGGATATTTTTTCTGGGATATCTGGACATTCCAATATGGGTGTCAAATGTCAAGGGGGAAAACGAGCCAAAACGGAACTTGAAGCACTAAGCAGGGACTCACGACTCCGACGAGTCATAATGATGGAATGTTGAGCAGCATGTGATATACCCAACAACAAACCATCCTCCTCAAATATACCAGAAATGGTTGGTATAAACCGTTCCCAACTGGAAGTGACAGCATTTTTTTTTGTCTGCATCTCAAGCTGCTGGACCAACAACTTGGCTTTCAAAACAAAACCGTTGTCGGGAAAAAAACGCTCACCCATCTTCACATCTCAAAACACAAATAATTGCTTTCTGACAAACCCGTCAACATTTCTCAGGATTCAACAAGATATCTCTTTCGACAAATATTCCGTTTTTTGTTGACACCCAATTCTTATCGGTTCTTATCGGTGGAAAAAAAATAAAAACGTGTTTTTCCCATTGGTCATTGGTGATGTTTCATTTTTTCCATTTCAAATTTGTGGACTGAGTCAATCATGTCAATCCCCAATTCTTCTAGGTGAAAATCCATGAAAATCCTGTTTTCGATCCCAATTTTCCAATCCCAAGTCCCAATTGTCCCATGAAAAATCCCAATTTTCCCATGCAAAATCCATCTCCGAGCCACGATCTCGGGCACGAAGCCGCAACCAGCAGCACAGCTGCTACCTGGAGAGCTGGCGATGGGAGCACCAAGGACTGGGATTTGAAGAGACAAAAAGATGGATGGTTTTCATGGGATTTAATAAGAATTCATGGGATTTTATGGGATTTTATGGGATTTAATGTCATTTAATGGGTTTTAATGGTTTTTAATGGGATTTCATGGAAGTTAATGGGACTTTATGGGATTTACGATATGATTCAGAGAATTTCTATAGGGATTTTAACCACCAAAACTATGGTTTAATGGAAGTTCGTGGGAGTTTATGGTGCGTATTGATGGGATTTGATTTAATCAATACGAATGGGGATATTGATGGGATTTATCCTCTGGTGATTTAACAGTTTGCTATGGTTTAGATCGCCCATTTAGTCGGATGATTAACGATTTTTTGAAATGGTGATTATCCATAGCGATGTGAAATTACTGTAGGGTATATCGTCAAATAGGGGAGACGTCACCAACAAATCGGAATTTATTGGAGATTGAAAACCGGCAAAAAATAAGGATTCGACCATATATATGTTCAAAAGAAACTATCTGCTGGTCAAAAGATATGGAATCGTTCCAATCCAAGACAAGTGTTGGTCAGCCCCAATCCACCAACACAGTTTTTGATCGCTGTTTTTGATGAAAAAAGTGACTTTGAATCCACCAAGAGCAGTTTGGTCCGGTTAAGCTTTATGCAGGCCAGAGACCTGTTGCCAGTCAAACATCCGATGTGTGTCAAACATCAAGATTCCATATATTGACTTGGACTCAAACAAAAGCCAACCCTTCGACTAGTAGAATCATGATAAAGTGGTGATGGGTTCGCCATTTAAAAAAACGACTTGATGTTGTCATGACCAAGCCCTGACATGGCTTTACTGACCTCGGGTATCGAAGCACTCCACAAACTGCTTATGGGTGCAGAGCAGCTCAGAGTGGGCACGGTTCCACCTGCAGGTTTTGGAGTTTTTGATGGTGAAAGCTGTGGGATTTTGCTCGTTTGACGATGAGTTTTTGATGAATTCTATCCAAAGAAACTGAGAACCCCCATCAACACAATCTAGAAGGCTGGTTTCAGGGAAAATCCACAGGTAACCATGACCTTGCAAGCGGAAAGATGGGAGTAAACCAAGTATGAGATGATCCCCAAACCTACTCGTGGCACAACTCCCAGTTGCCGGCCATAATCCCAATTCAACCGACTAGTATAAATCAGTACAACCCGTGGTTTAAACCTCTATTTTTGCTGGCAACTTCACCCGGTTTCTGTGGTGAAATCATCATTTTTTGTCTGCATCTTCCGCGCAGGGCTTTAAGAACCACATGGCTTAAGATATGCATGTATGTATGTCTGTCTGTCTGTATGTCTGTCTGTCTGTATGTCTGTCTGTATGTCTGTCTGTATGTCTGTCTGTCTGTATGTACGTCTGCATGTGTGTATATATATATATGGGAATATATGGGAATATGATACGTATGAATGGCTGCATAAAAAATACGTGAGCTCAGATCAGCTTCGTCAATGCCAAAAACCTACAGAAGCTGTGGCCCCATGCTCATCCCAAAGGCATTGCTGGGAAATCTCCGTTTGGAATGCGAACATCAAACATGGCTAGTCTTAGATTCTTAGATGCCCTGCAAAATCAGTTTTCTGTTGTATATATATATATACAAGCCTTTGAGCTGGAGAGTATCTATACTCCCTACCCCAATTTTGATGGCCAAAAGAAATCAGCCTATGAAGGTCTTACCAATCCCAATTGGTTCATGGGACCCCCAGTTTTATTTGATTAAACCATATTAAACCCATGTTCTCAATGTGTAAATCCGTTGTTGATTCCCGCATTGTAGTAACTCCCAAAAGATAGAACCGTTTATATAGGACTTCAACTGTTCTACCTTTTTGGCGGCCAATCCCGTCCCCCGTTCACATTAGCTACACCCCTTTCTATGGTTCCAAATCTGTGGTGTCATGTCCTATTCCGTGGAGGATGACCCCACGAATCGTAACCGGTTAGTACGTGGGGTTAGTTTATTGTAAACCGGATAACCCATGAATCGGGAACTGAACCGTTCACCAGGGTCTCTTATCCAGCGATCTGTGGGATGATCCTCCAAGTATAGATATCATCCCCCAACTATCCCACAGATGATATATGATATATATACCCTCTAGATCCCTCTAGTAATTTAACAGTTCGCTATTGAAAATGGCCATTTATAGATACAGTAGTGAGTTTCCCATGAAAAAATGTGGATCTTTCCATAGTTTGTTGTTAACGTTTACCAGAGGGAATCCTCCAAGTATCAACTTCCACAGTGGGTTTTTCCCTCGAAACTGGCCCAGCCGGCCCGGGGGATGGGCCAACTGGCGCCTGCTGCGCGGGAAGACGTGAGGGCCGGGCGTATGCCCTCCAGCGTACGCAATGATGGCAGGACGGCCGCAGCACGGACTCCTAGGTGCTCTGAGATGATGATTTTCAGCATCAAGAATGGAGCCAGATGGGATTTAACCACCTAAAATACACTCAAACATCCCAAAATCTTTGCTGTACAATTGGAATTGAATCGGATTTATGGATATTGTATATGGCTTTCACCACGAAAATGGCAAAGTTGCCATGAGTTTATTGCAGAACTCACCATCAATGATTTGAGCCTCACGGGATCGGGACTTCCCCACGTGGCAAGTACCATGAATCATTACGGTAATCCATGTGTTTCGTCCCAAGTTTGAAAACTGTGAAAGTAATGGCTACGAATTTCACGGTAATTGCACAGTTTGCGAACTGGAAAAGCACCCTGTTTTTAAGAACGATTGATTTTTTTGAACTCAACTGGCCATCTAAACTCTAGCAAGTTTACTGGAGAGGAATCGTCTCCAAAAACCATCCATTCTGGATCTAAAAAAAAATCGCCCACTAAAGATCTACATGGCCAGGAAAACCTCCAGTCATTTCTGCTAGAAATAGGGGACCAGTGACACTTGGTGGATGGAAATCCCCCTGGAGTGAAATGAACATCAACATCCGATTCCGGGGAATCTGCATCTCTACATGCAAGCCAAGGGTTCTGAGAAAAAATGACACACACTCATCCAAATCCAGCATTTGTTGCTTGTATCGGCTGTTGTCAGGTTGTAGCAACTCCGCAAGAAGATGAATTGAATTTAGTGAACTCCGAATATATCAGATAGTAGTATATCAAGTTTCGTATATCAAATGTAGTATCATTGAGTATAATCCTAGTATATTATATCCGATAGTTTCCAGGATGGTAGTTGGTGTTCTCCCCCAAATATCCGGGGAGAACCAGCTTTCTATCTATGTGGGGGTTGCTAGTTGCCATATATTTAAATCTGGGGTATGACGGGAATATCAGAAAAGGATCAGTCAATCAATTAGATCAACCCAGGGTTGTTACCCTCTGGTAAACTAACATAACTATGGAAATTGGTCCATTTATAGTTGATCTACCTATTATGAATGGTGATTTTCCATAGCTATCTTAGTTTACCAGGGTTGTTATCGTAGGGTAAACTAACCCTTCGATGTGGCAAAACCACCATCTGTAGATCATTTTTCCAAGGTGCAACGACCCATCCATGCCGCCCCAATCACCTGTCATCCGCTGTCAACATGGCGAGCCGCCAGGAAATCCCCGACATTGGCATCGATGCGAAACTGGCGATTGTCCAGCAAGTCATGTTTGATGACCAGAGAATAGCTATCAACAAATTTCAATGAACTGACCCTCGAATACATTACGTGGATTTGATGGGACCCTTAAAGATCGTGTTTCCTTCATCTTCCAAGATAGACGAAGCAAATCCACCGGCAAAAATCCCATCTGGGACTGAAAAATCTCATCGGATTTGTCGGAAAAATACGACAAATCACCCAAAGATCATCTACTGATGGTGAAATATATCCCATCCCATCATAAGATGATTGGTTACAAATCTGAAATAACATGAAATAACCTGTTATTTTTTGAATCACAATTTGTAACCATCTTGTAGATGCTTTGGGGTTACATCACGATTTTTGCTGGTAAAAACCAGCGAATCCTCTGATGAAATCCGTGAATCATCTCCATCTCGGCGCCACGTTTTTGTGCCAAGCTACCGATGGCGAAAATGTGTTTGACGCCTGACATGGAGATATAACATGATGTGCAGCAAACGCAGGATCCTGAGAAATGACTATATCTAGATAGATCTATGTATGTGGATACATGTGTATATATATATGTACACATAATACAAATATCAGATATACCCTCGGAAGGTACAGGGTTCAAAGAGGGGCTCCCCCTTTTCGCAGTTTGCGCCTGTGCCATAGACGGAGATCGGGGCCCAATCGATTCCTTTGTATCCCTCAGCAGCAAGGCTTCCCTAGAAATGTGGCTTCCCTAGAAATATCTATAGCTAAGTTAGTGAACAGAACTACAATCTATAGATACCCATATACCAACAAAGTTATCCATATCTATATGCTACAATCTATATACCATGGTCGTCATATCTATAGCTACAATCATCTTTGGGTTGGCCATATACCCTCCAGTAAATTAACATGACGACCCTGCCAGATGGGTGTTAAAAGACTAGTGAAACCACTATGTTTATTGGTCATTTTCAGGGTCCAACTGTTAATTTACCAGAGGGTATCTATAGTTGGGCCAACATAAACCAACCAAGATTTAAAACAGGGGACCCCACTCGGGAAAGTCCCAAGGCTCCAGTGATCATGATCCTAAGATATTCCGAACATCATAACATGTTCGGAGTATAATATCAGTATCATATGTTTTTGTATATTGGAACAATATGATCATTCCTAAGATGTTCCTAACATTTTCCTAACATGTTCCTAGTATAATGTGTATATATATATATATATAATTGATCCAAATCATCTATATCCTAAGATATTCCCAACATTTTCCCAACACTTTCCCATATAATATCACTATAATATCCCACCCATCCATATACTATTATAAATACGGGATTATATATATATACTATATAATATCCATATCCCAGCCATCCTGCCACGTCACCATGGCCGTGGGCGGTGCCCCCAAGCGCCGTGCCGCGGCGCCCGTGGCGTTGCCATCGCCGAAGGCGGCGTCCACCGCGGCTGTGGCCTCGTGGACGAAGGCGGCGGCAGCGCCGCGCAGCGCGTGCAAGGCGCTGGCGGCGGTGTCCGTGGCGTTGGAGGCCAAACACCTTGGGGAATATGGCATAAAGATAAAGATACATCAGGATATTTTAGAGATATATGATATATATATATATATATCATGTAGATAGATAGATAGATAGATAGATAGATAGATAGATAGATAGATAGATAGATAGATAGATAGATTAGGTAGGTAGATAGATTAGTAGATTAGTAGATTAGTAGATTAGTAGATTAGTAGATTAGTAGATTAGTAGATTAGTAGATTAGTAGATTAGTAGATTAGTAGATTAGTAGATAGATTAGTAGATAGATTAGGAGATAGATTAGGGAAAGATTAGTAGATAGATTAGTAGATAGATAGGTAGATAGATAGGTAGATAGATAGGTAGATAGATAAGGTAGATAGATAAGATAGATAAGATGGATAAAATCGATAAGATGGATAAAGTCGATAAGATGGATAAAATAGATAAGATAGATAAGATAGATAAGATAGATAAGATAGATAAGATAGATAAGATAGATAAGATAGATAAGATAGATAAGATAGATAAGATAGATAAGGAGATAAGATAGATACGATAGATACGATAGATAAGATAGATAAGATAGATGGGAGATGGTTGGATGGTGTTGGCGATTCGTGGTTAAGATGGTTTTGGATGGTTTGGGTATTTGCTGATGATATTTTGGACAAAATGGTTGGATCATCGTTGACGGTATGTATGTATGTATGTATGTATGTATGTATGTATGTATGTATGTATGTATGTATGAATGTAAGAATGTATGAATGTATGAATGTATGAATGTATGAATGTATGTATGTATGCATGCATGCATGCATGCATGCAGCATGCCATGTAGGCATGTAGGCATGTAGGCATGTAGGCATGTAGGCATGTAGGCATGTAGGCATGTATGATTATGTACAGTATGATTATGTACAGTATGATTATGTACAGTATGATTATGTACAGTATGATTATGTACAGTATGATTATGTACAGTATGATTATGTACAGTATGATCATGTACAGTATGATTATGTACAGTATGATTATGTACAGTATGATTATGTACAGTATGATTATGTACAGTATGATCATGTACAGTATGATTATGTACAGTATGATTATGTACAGTATGATTATGTACAGTATGATTATGTACAGTATGATTATGTACAGTATGATTATGTACAGTATGATTATGTACAGTATGATTATGTACAGTATGATTATGTACGATTATGTATGATTATGTACGATTATGTATGATTATGTACGATTATGTATGATTATGGATGATTATGGATGATTATGGATGATTATGTATGATTATGGATGATTATGGATGATTATGGATGATTATTTATGTATGGTAATGTATGGTATTGTATGGTAATGTATGGTAATGTATGAGAATGTATGGTAATGTATGGTAATTTATTGTAATGTATGGTAATGTATGGTAATGTATGGTATTGTATGGTAATGTATGAGAATGTATGAGAATGTATGGTAATGTATGGTAATTTATGGTAATGTATGGTAATGTATGGTAATGTATGGTAATGTATGGTAATGTATGGTAATGTATGGTAATGTATGGTAATGTATGGTAATGTATGGTAATGTATGGTAATGTATGGTAATGTATGGTAATGTATGGTAATGTATGGCAATGTATGGTAATGTATGGTCAGGTATGGTGAGGTATGGTAATGTCTGGTAATGTCTGGTAATGTCTGGTAATGTATGGTAATGTATGGTAATGCATGGTAATGTATTGTAATCTATTGTAATCTATTGTAATCTATTGTAATCTATTGTAATCTATTGTAATCTATTGTAATCTATTGTAATCTATTGTCATGTATTGTGATGTATTGTAATGTATTGTAATTGTAATGTATTGTAATGTATTGTAATGTTATGTTATGTAATGTATGTATGTATGAATTTGGATGAAGTTTTCGATGATTTAAGTGATTTTGGATGATCTTTGGAGATGTTTAGAGGATGGGCCCCTGATCAACATCCCAAAAAATCAATAGAATAGTTTATAATGTTTATATATTCGGGATGTGAATCACAGCCCGTTTCTATCCGCATCCAAAATTGGATGATAAAACACCACAAGTAGGGCCCCTTAGTAGATCACCCAAGAAATGGCGTCAAAAGAAGTTTTGATTTTCAAAAAAGAACGGGGATTGGAAGCTAAAGGAGAGATTTGACCAACCCAATGTGAGCTTTGCATCAAAGGGATCCCCCAAGTTCGATGGGATTTCAGCGACCAAAAAAAGAACAGGGGCCTGGAGTCTGAACAACTGTGGATTTCATCAACCTGAGAAAAAAACATGGGAAATATGGCTATGAATCAATACCTATCAATACCATTTTTAGAGGGATGAACATCCATTTACCAGCTATTTTTATGTTCACCAGGGGTACAAGGTTTTGACCCACTGCCATATGGGAATGGTTTTCGAAAGGTACCTGATTTACTGTAACATGAAAACCCAGGATGGATATGTTCTTTATTTTTCTTGGAATATTTTGGCGGTAAACAAACCCCACACGGAAATCCCCAGGCTTTCATCCGAGGTGGGTGCTGTGGCCCAGGGCACAGACCCACACCGGCCAATGGAAGAAGGACGCGCATGGCACCAAGGCTTCCTATCAGGGCGAGATGATTTCACGACGCGTCGAGCTTCACGGCTGCCAGTTGGGCCACGGTGCCACGCTTTTTTGTGACCGGCACGAATCCCTGCAACAAACTTGGCGACCGGATCACTGATATAGACATATACAGATACATGTATACATGATTATACATGAATATTTCAAATGTTTCAGTTTCTGTCAACAGAATTGAGAGGTGCCCAGTAGCTGTAGGTATGTGCCGAATTAGCTTTGCACCCCACCCTGCGAGCTGCGGCCCGGGCCATCAACAAGTTTTCGGGTTTCACGTCACGGTGAAAGATCTGTCGTTCCTCGAAAAAAAGGCTGCCAGCAGTGGAGCAGCGGCTTGTGTTGACCCAGTGATTTTCAAGCTGGGCTCTCTTGATCACCCTTTTTGGAGAGGTTCAACAAAACTCCAAGCATACAGAAACGTCGAAAAAGTTACCAAAAAAATCATGGCCACTCAGTGGATTTTCATGGAACCGCGCCTTGCAAGAAAAACAAACTCGACCTTTAACCTGTTTGTGGTCAACCTGTTTATTTTCGGTTTGGTCCTAGAGCAACAAAGAGCTGGACATGGTAGTCCAAGAAGAGTTGGCTGAATCCAAAGAGGGAACAGTTAAGTGGGAGAGAATTTGACACCACATATGTATATCTATACATATATATATTACATATATATTTATATATACATATAGTACGAATGTATGCAAGAATCATGCATACATTCGCTCAGCAATGTCGTTGGTGGCATCCCCAATCTATGGTGAAATCGCGCTATGAATCATAAACCTGAAATACCCTCTGGTGAACTAACATAGCAATTGAAAATGGCCATAGAAATAGTGGATTTTCCCATTGAAAATGGTGATTTTCCATTGCTATGTTAGTTCACCAGAGGGTAAGCCTAAAAAAACCAAAGGTGCATCCCCCTGGCCTGAAATAAGTTCAGAAGTTGGGTTGATGAATGATCTACAAAGGACCAGAAACAGCTGGTCATCACAGTTGCGACATCTGTGTAGACTGACCACCTTTGGATATCCTACCAAGGAAATACGTCATGTTTAATAAGATGTCATAGTTTGTTGATCAAAATGGTTGAGAATTTTACGCAGTAAATCTTCAGGGTTCATGTTCAAATCCCCCTTTTTTGTTGTTTTTTCAGTCCTGAGACACCCGGTACCCTCTCAGCTGCCGCACGTGCAAATGCTTCAACGCCTCACAAAGGTCACGCACCAACGGCCTTGGGATGCGGCAGCTCAGCTCACCATGTGGACCATGTTCCATGCATACCTGTTCGCCTGGAGGCCTGTCAATAATCCCAACTACAGCCCTAAGTTGATTATTGCAGAATGATTGAAGCAAGAAAGGGATGGAACCATGATACAATAGGCATGATAAAATCATGGAATGGGATGATTGAACCACAGTTTTTAACCAGCAGGGAAAGTACAAAATCAAGAAGATACAGTCTGGTTCAACCAGTAGAGTACAGGAGATACCCACCCGGGTTTCTGACCACGTGTCCGGGGCTATAAATAGTGCCCAAAATCCGAAGATTGGCCGTTGACAACTTTGGAAGTTTCATCAACTTTGGAAGTTTCCAGGGTAGAACCTTCAGGGAAACGATGACAAAGGATTTACCTAGCCAAGTAATGTCAACTCCTCGATCAACGTCTGGGCTGTTGATAGGATTGGTACTGCTGAGAGGTTGAGCCAGGGATTATTCTAACGTGGCAACAGATTCAGATCCTTCAGTATACCTGCAACAGTATCATCAAAATGGATGATTTAGTGGTAAAATGATGGAAGGAAAACCATAATTTCTTAGTTAGTTATTTTTATTACCAAAGGATAAGTAAACCACTCTGGCAATATCTGTAAAACCATTGTTTTTTTGGAGTGTTGTGAATTTGAATGGAAGTTCCCAACAAATATAGCAAGTCAGTGCTTCTTTCAATGGGGAGGGTTGCCTTTTGTCCGATTTGATTAAATGTGCTACTGTACATATATATACTATGCATGCATGTATTATTTATTTAGTGATTTATTTATCTATTTACTTATGAATTTGTGTGTGTGTGGGTTATGTTTTAAAAGACTGGTGGGCAAACATCTGGCATCTTAAAATTCTCAAGACACGGCTTTTCGTTTCGTACCAGTGACCATCAGCCGTGACCATCAGTGACCCAGAAAAAGCTCCCAGTGACCGGTCTCGCGGTCTCGCCGAATGACATGGCATCCTTCTCTGTCATTCGTGTACAGCTGGCAACTCGATCATAGAGATCTCCATAGGGATGAACGTCCTTGGCACCGGTCAGATGTCGGATCATCTGTTTTAAGGGACTGGGACTGGTTGAAAAACATGTTTTAAAAAGAGGAAACGTCAGAAAAAGGGGGAAAACCTTGGTTGTCCTTCAAAGTCGCCATGTTTCTGGTTTCATCTTCTGATGGCTTTCAACTGCACGAGACCATGACTGGCCCGCAACTCTCTTGTTCAAACGGCTTGGTCCAAAAGTTGTGTGTACTCCAAAAAAAGCAATGTTGTATCGCTTTATCATGGAAAATGATATCTAAAGAGGAAGAAAACATGGATTTGAGGTTGTTCTATCAGTGCTATTGGATCTGAATTGTTCAGCAAAAATTTCGGATCCCAAAGATGTCAAGCCGAAAACACCAGTGTCAATCACTTGGTCCAAGAGACAAAGACCAAAAACCACTTGAGGTGCCTTGGGCAGCGGTTTCATTGGTTTCATCTAGGCATGTCGGCTATCCCATAGCGAAAACCCCTGTGTTAAAATGTGTTAGATCCATATGTTGTTGGACCAACAATCAGCAGCTGGGATGTCAAAACTGCTGAGTCTTGGAGTGTCCCGGACGGCGGCTTGTAGCCTGAGGCTAGCTATATCTAGCTATGGCAGCTAGGTCAATTTATCGACCAACTTCGTCAAATTTTCTGGCTCCATTGCTTCCTACGACTTCCTGCAACTGGGCCCACTGGGTCCCCCAACGGCTTTTCTACTTCGCAGAAACAGCCGCGGAATTTGATGATTTTATCATGGCCTCGGGGTTTCCGGCAGCTTCTCTGGTCATCCCAGTCATCCCTCAACGCCGTGGAAAATCCAGCCAAGCTGGCCACGGCCAACAAAACTGCCAGGCCCTAGCTGGCCATATGGGGATGGGTCAAAACCCTGTACCCCTGGTGAACATCAAAATAGCTGGTAAATGGAAGTTCATCCCACTAAAAATGGTATTAATAGGTATTGATCCATATCCATATAGCAACCCAAGCTTTTTTTATAGCCGCAGAGTTTGGCAAACATCGAAGTAGCATCTTTTTGGGGTCGTCGATCATTGCTCCGCAATGCCATGCCATTCCCCTGGCGCCTTGCGCTCGCACGAGCATGTTCACCTGAGCCCACGATGTATTTTTGGATAGCATGTCTGGTTTCCAAAGCTGTTGAGGCCATCAAAAGTGGTGATGTTATGTGATATTACCCTCTGGTAATGACTAACAGTTCGCTATTGAAGCCATGGCCATTGATATATAGTGACTTTTCCCATTAATAGCATGGTGGATCTTTCCATAGTCTTGTAAAAATTTACCAGAGGGTATGCCATTCGTTGGGCCATCCGCCATCAGCGCAGACCATCACTGACCATGAGAACGGCCCAGAAGAGTTGGAAGGTACCCTCTGGCTATGACTAACAGTTCGCCATGGTATAGATGGCCCATAGAAATAGAGGTTTACCTATTAATAGCATGGTGATTTTCCATGGCGAACTGTTAGATAACCAGATGGTACACATCCGAAAAATAGTGAAAGTATGGAAAAAATGACTGCTTCACAGCGCGTGGCACAAATGACATTCTCAGATTCTCCGCCCCATTCGGACTACAGCTTCACATCAACTTGGCACTAAAACTATTGCAGCCCATTGGGTAAGCCCAATGCGATAAACCTCCACTTAGGATGGGATAGGTGATCTTTAATGCCATCATGCTATCATGTTTTCACTTGGCCATGAAAAGTCCAGCCATGTTTGTCAACAATGGTGAGAATGGTTGGGGTATATAGAGCTGAAAAAATACATCCAAAAATAAAACAACAAGCATTTCAGGTGTGTATTTGACAAGTAACTGTATCTATATATATATACATATGTACACATAATAAATATATATATAAGTACATAAATATAAATATACATATGTACACATAATAAATATCTATATATAAGTAAACAAAAAAAAAACAACCATTTCCGGTATCTATTTGCCAAACAAAACCATAAATCAAAAAGATCTTTCTCGCCATTTCTTCCCGGCCCGCCTCGGCTTGGACCGTTTCGCTCCTGGTGCCATCCTTCAAATATTTGATGGCCTAAGTTGGTGCAAATCGATGGCACCGGTAGATGGGCAAAACCATAGGAAAACCATAGGAAAACCATAGGAAAATGGAGGTTTACCCTCTGGTAAACGTTAACAAAAAACTATGGAAAGATCCACCATGCTATTAATGGGAAAAGTCACTATATATCAATGGCCATGGCTTCAATAGCGAACTGTTAGTCATTACCAGAGGGTAATAAACAGTGTTGAATTGTGTTACCACAGTATGATCAGTATGTACCATGTATAGTGATGTATAGTACTATGATCATATTTCAACCCTAACATCACTATGATATATGATGCATGAATAATGTATGTCTATCACATTAAAAAAAGAACATGTGTCTATCCTTAGGTCCTTTGGGGTCTTACTTGTTCAGTAAATGGACTATTTTACCACCGATTGTTTCCTAGAATCACAAGTTTGATCAGTTTTGGGGCTGCTTTGTATATATATATACATATGTGTAGATAGATACATATGTGTGTATATATCATATATATATATATATGTATATATATATATGTATTTAAGACTCTATAAATGATATCGAGAACTGGTTCATTCCCTACATTGCAGTGGGGATCTTCCATTCAAATCGGTCAACTAATTATGGCTATGAACACAATTCCTTCCCATCAGTGCAATGTCTTTCTCCGCCGGTTTCTCGATGCTAATATCCCAAGATCTCATGCTAAAATCCTGCTTTCGATGGTTAAACCCCAATCTTCAAAAATAGTCATGGTTAACAAAAATAGAAATCCCAAGAAATTCCTAAAAATTAGTCCCAATCTTTCTTCCAAAAAATAAAATCCCTAAAATCCAACAAAAGTCATGGTTAACTCCATGGAATCAGCCATTCTTCATGCTGAAAATCCCTAAAAATCTTTGGGCCCTCAAATTGGCATTGGGTAATAGGGAAAATGCTGATTTAAACTCTTAACCCTGGGAGTTTGGGGCGCTCTCTTAAATTTTCATTCAACAAACGTGAGTTCATAAAATTTCAAAAATCCCTGGAAAAAGTACTACTACAAGATCCCTGAAATCCATCAATTAAGTTTTCATGGTAAAATCTCTATCTGTTCACCACTTTTCAGGCCACCGCACGGCCATAGCTCCCGTGGAGACGGAAGTTGCGTGTACCACGGCCCTGCAAAGGCAACAAAAAGTGCAAAAAGTGTGGTTTGACCATGAAAACGTTGGATTTGAATGAAGAACAATTGGGATTTCACCATGAAAGCAATGGCAACCATCGGAAATGTTGATGTCATCACATCAAACCTGCTTGAAAACATGAAAAAAAATTACTAACGTTTTTTGCGGGTATATCGGATCTCGCTTTTTGATGATAGAAAAACAAACCACAGGCGAAGCATTCGAACCACTGGGAGGTGACCAGGAGTCCGGACCCAAAACTGCCGCTGCCAATCTTCCCAGCAGATATCTGGCACGGCACAAAAAGGGCGGTAAATTCTTGGCCAAAAAAAAGTCATTGAGCCCCACCATCTCTTGGATTTTTGCCGGAAAATCATGGAAAGACAATTTTTGGAAACTCTTGGGGATGGTAATTGTGGGTGAACTCGGTGTCTTCACCAATTGTGGCAGTGATCAGATCGTTTTTGAGATTCTCTACACGGATCTCCTGGCACTGTGATGATCATACATTTTCCTTGTAAAGCTCGATAACTGGATTGGATAACCAGAGACTCAGCCTGCACAAGTGTTTTCAGTGGTTCATGTAAGTTCCAGGATTTTTCTGCATAATTTGCTTCGAAGCAGAACCAGAAATGGCATCGAAAAATCTGACCCTACCTGGCCATAGGTCAAAACGGAGTATCCCTAGCGAACATCCACCAATCTTGGGATGATAAAAGTCAACATACAAGCACACTCATATTTGGGGTTTGTGGACCCAACACAATCGAATTATGCGAATTCCAAGACATGGGATCCCTCAACAAATCTACCCATTTTTTTATAGCAAAAGATTAAAGTATTGAAGTAATTAATAGATAGATAGATAGAAAGATAGATAGATAGATAGAAAGATAGATAGATAGATGGATGGATAGATAGATAGATGGATGGATAGATAGATAGATAGATAGATCGATAGATAGATCGATAGATAGATCGATAGATAGATCGATAGATGGATAGATGGACAGATGGACAGATGGACAGATGGACAGAAGGACAGATGGACAGATGGATAGGATGGATAGGATGGATAGGATGGACAGATGGATAGGATGGACAAATGGATAGGATGGACAAATGGATAGGATGGACAAATGGATAGGATGGATAGGATGGATAGGATGGATAGGATGGATAGGATGGATAGGATGCATAGGATGGATAGGATGGATAGGATGGATAGGATGGATAGGATGGATAGGATGGATAGGATGGATAGGATAGATAGGATGGATAGGATGGATAGGATGGATAGGATAGATAGGATAGATAGGATAGATAAGGTAGATAAGATAGATAAGATAGAATAGATGGAATAGATAGAATAGATAGAATAGATAGAATAGATAGAATAGATAGAATAGATAGAATAGATAGAATAGATAGAATAGATAGAATAGATAGAATAGATAAAATAGATAGAATAGATAGAATAGATAGAATAGATAGAATAGATAGAATAGATAGAATAGATAGAATAGATAGAATAGAATAGAATTAGAATAGAATAGAATTAGAATAGAATTAGAATAGAATAGAATAAAATAGAATAGATAGATAAATGTTTGTTCAATTGAATCCCCATGAAATCCCCATGAAATTATCTATGGTTTCCCCAGAACATAAGGCGCTTCGAATCCTCACCAGGTGTGTCTCAGCGCCTTGTAGAAGCAAAAGAGGCCATTGCGAGTGCCTCGTTAGTCAAAACCCATGGAAATACATGGAAAAGTATGGAATGTATCAGGTAAAACCAATAATAATAGAATGCAACGGGATATGCAATCAATAACGGGGATATGATATATTATTGTGTATGTATGTATATACAGTATATATATATATATATAGATTATACATATATATATATATATATATATATATGCTAGCCCCCCCCCCAAACCTACTTTTTTATGACTTTCATGTTGGTTTTCATGTTGGTGCTTGTGTGTCAGAGGCAGGGACATGCAGATAGGCAGAGGAATTGCAGACAAGAGGAAATACTGTATTTTGATTGTGTGTCAGAGGCAGAGACATGCAAACAATTTCGTTCATATTTATCGACTTGTGGTAAGTAAAGGAATTGCAGACAAGAATGTTTCAGACTGTTTGTGGTGGTGAAATTTTGTATTTTCATGACATTTGCATGATAATGCGAGTTGCAGCAAACAATGAAGCATTGACAGAAGGATTTGTTTTCTGCGATGGCTGGAGCACTGAGATTAAGCCAAGCTTTTGGCGACATGCCATGTACACACAATGCTGGTTTGAAGCCATAGATCCGCATTCCTGTGCCAATACCCGTATTGGGCACTGCGAATTTTGGCATGCAGCAGAGGCGTTCCAACTCGGCAATGTTGGTTTAAATGAATCCTGTCTTTGAGGAAGCGCCAGGCACGGTCTATAATTTGCGTGCCACCTTTAGTCTTAAATTTGCGACCAGTCTTGGGATCCTTGTGTGTGGTCACGGGGACATAGGTGGGCAATTTCCACATCCACTTGCCCTTGACTTTGACACGCTTTTTGCAGTGTCGGACATGGTCGTGGAAAACCCCACTCATTTTGAGTTTGTACGACTTGGCTGCATCTGTGTGAAGAACGACGATGCGGTCCCGCAAGTGCTTGGTCGCAAGCGGCTGCCACTCAATCTTGCGGATTGCGCCTGGTCCAGGCGCTCTCCGGGCAGATGTTTGAGGAGTCAGCCGCTTCAGGACCAACGTATGTGGAGCACCTCGTTGCACGATGCCGCACCATTGCTCCCAAATGATCGGCTTCGCGGGGTCCTCGGCCATTTCTTGCAAAATGTGGCCTCATCTGCTTCCACATCAGCCCAGGTCTTGGCGTTGCCGAAGAGGATGGATTTCTCCTTCTCCTCGACCCAACGTTTGCGAAGATGGCTCAGCCTGTTCTCCATGTCCTCAATGGCCTTGTGGTTGATGTGAAGAATGCGATGGATGGCAGGGTGCGGGATGCGATTGAGCAACAGGAACAGCAAAGCAGATTGTGTTTGCAGAGGAGTGGCACTAGCACCAGTTGCATCCTTGAAGATTGGATGTAGGTGATGAGGGTTGATGTATGCCTGGCAGCCCTTGCGGTTGCACCGATGTCGCGGCATTGAGGCGCCAAGCAGCAGGTGAGCCTTTGACAAACGGCCTTTGCCACAACGGGGGCATGTTTTGCCTGTCCAATCATGTAGAAGCTGATCTTCACGAAATAGACGAACCAATTGAACATCAGTAGCTTGCAGCAAGTCTGCGAGCTTGCGTTTCCAGGATGTTCTGTCCATTCGTTGTTGTTGAACAGCCTCCTTCGAACGCACATAGGGCACTTTCTTCCACTGAGTCGTTTTTGCCCTGGCAGGCCTCTTCAACACACTTCTTCCTTTACCTCTTTTGGGATCAGGAAAGAAGTTGAAGGTGCCCTTGTCCTTGGTATGGCCTTTCTTGACCGGTTTTCCCCCAGCTTTCTTAGCACAAGGGCGAGGGCAGCGCTTCGCAGGCATGGCTTCGATGCTACCAATCGATCGAAAGTGTGAACCCAAAAGCTAGATGGAATACTGAACTGACACGTGTTGATACACTCTACGTACAACACATGTGGTAGAGCATGTATCAGTTTCAAGAGGCAGAGCACCATGCAAACCAGCAGTGACCATTAAGTATTTTTGACATGACAAGAAGAGTCTGCGACTAACCATGGAGTCTCTTTTCTAGCGAGCGGGTGCAGAATGCGAAGATGCTGAATGGCACAGACACAGTGCCCGTCACTGTATCAAGTCCACACAGCAATATTGAAGACTATCCGCTTTCAGCGTAGGCTGCAGTCATGGAAGCCAGCAAGCTCCTCACCAAGGATATCCAACTCAGCATCCATCACCTTCTCCAGTTCCTCCTCCAAGGTTGGATCTGGGCACTCTTCTGCGTCATGTGGAAGACCGAGCTCAGCTGCGTCAGGATTCGGAACAGATGCTCCCAGTGAAGCCTTGCTCTTCTTGCGGACTGGCGAAGGACTGCTGAGATCGATCACACCTGTTCCAGGACGAAGGGACTGAAAGACCGCGCGCTCCCGCTTCACTTCCACACGGTCCTTCTTGTCTTTGTCGACATCCCAATTGGTCCATCCAAAGCTGGCCCGGTCTGTGTCCACGTCGATGGGATCCCGGCGTGTTTCACGAGCCAATAGCGCATTCCCATCTGTGTACCTTAGCAGACCATGTGAAGCAGAAGGTTTGCAGTAGACGGTTTGAAGCAGAAGGTTTGCAGTAGACAGTTTGAAGCAGACGGTTTGAAATAACAGTTGGTACATGAGATTGAAGTATGCAATGTGGTAAGAGGCAGGTACTGCAAGAATATGTTTTAAGCCAAGCTACTCCTGTGATTCCATTTTGACATACGGGATGCTGTGCTTTCGCTCTTCCAATCCATCTTCTGCACTGGCCTTAGCATGGGCTTTCTCTAGACATGTAGAAGGTCTTGAACTGGAGCCCTACAGAGCTTCTCGCATCTTCTCACGGTTCTTGCTGTCTGGGCGCCGGGACTCGAAGCATTTCGCCATGATGGCAGAGATCCACGCCTGCTCCTTTTTGACTTCAGTGTCAAAATTTGGAGGGATGGTCTTGTTGTTGGATTTGAACATGCCATAGAACTCCTTGCCATCAGCAGTGAGGAAATCGGGGTGGTCGACCGCAATGCGCTCCACAGGATCTTCATTCACACCATCAGGCCTGAAGTAGACAAACTTCTTGGTCACCACAATAAAGACAGATCGTTTGAGAAGAGCATTGATGTCTGCGTGAGAGGCATTGGTAGACACTGCCGGACGGATCATCTCCCAGAAGCTTTTGAAAGAAAGAGTTCCAACGAACGCACTGCCTTCATCCACAGAAGCATCGTAGGCATTGGCGGCGATGGCACGAGGTTGGTTTTGCACCCACTTGGATGCACCCCAGCGAGCCCAGGCCATGGACTCGTACAAGCCAACGTCCAAGAAAGACTTGAGGATTTTGAGACCCACATGCTGCATCTCAGGATCATCCAAGAAGTCGCCCATGATGACTGATCCAGCCTCGCCACGGAGAAAGTCTACCTCAGGGGTGCATCGGATGCATGGAGCTTCTTCACGACTGAAGCGCGTCCGGTTATACCGGCATTGTGCCATGAGGATGCTCCGACCCAAAGGACTTTTACCAGTGTTAGGTTCTCCCAGCATCACTAAAGCAGCCACATCGAAGTTCCAAATCTTCTCCAGCTTCTCCAAGATCCACTTCTGGAAGAACTTCTCTGTCAAGGGAAGGGGCCAATCGAATTCCTTGCGCGCAAGGGCGCCTTCTGTGGACAAGCAGCGCAAAGCTTTTTCGACAAGACTGACAGGCCATCCATTGATAGGAGATGTTTTCTTGCGAATTTCTTTTGTTTGCCAAGAGAGTTGCTGTAAATCTCTGCCGCTTCGGGGCGCATTTTTCCTCAAGAATTCAAAGCCGCATTCGAGGGCATCATCATCCAGCTCCTCAAAAGCCTTCAGCTTTGCTTGACTGGCCGCGGTCTCGGTGGACAGATCAAAGCAACGAAACTGCCTCCCACCCATATTTTGCAAGCAATATTGCAAAATCTTCTTGCCCACAGTTGGCTTCTGACTCATGAAACTAGGTTTGTACAAAGTTCCAAAGGCAAGGTTCTTGACAAAGGATGCTTTGGCCTTGTTTGGGAACATGTAATGCTTGAAGACGGTTGCTGTTCCATCATCTTCTTCTACAATGACCAGTTGCATCTTGACCTGACTTGCTACAGCTATCTTAGGACCAAATGGATGAGGCAACAGTTGCAGATCCTGATGGGTGATAGCTCGTTTGTAGTGCAACCCCAAGTCCTCGAACGAAGTTTGCATTGTGTAGCTTGCCACGACTTCCAGGAAGTGCACCATAGGATTCTCTCCATCCTGAATCTCGATCATGGGGAAGTTCACATGGTTCCAACTGCCACGGGGGAGAGCTGCTGAGACATAAGGGGCCGGAAGGGCTCGACACATGTACCCATCGCAGACAGCCTCCAATTGCTCGAAGTTCATGTCCTCAGGAGCAACAGCCATTGTGCAGCAGAAGCGGAAACAGGAAATTGTATGAGCAGAAGTGGCTGTAGCAGGATGCAGGTTGACACAGACAGTTGCGTTGGTTTAGAAGATTGGTAGCCATGAAATGAAGCAGATGCAAGTTTTTTGTACAGAGTTCAATTGGCAGACAAAGTCATTGGTAGGATTGTGACAAGACAGCACAAACACATGTTACTTGAAGTGAGGAGGGTCTAGGCTATTCACAGCAAGGGTTTTCATATGATTATTTCTGAAGCAATTACGGGTGTGATATATAGTGACTTCAGTGCGCATTCTTGGCTGTGCATGTAGACAAGGCAACTGTGCATGTAGACAAGGCACAAGCAGCTCAGCATTATTTTTCTCTCGCTGCAGTGCTCTGATCTGGTCTTAATAAACACGTAATGCGTATGCCAGCATCATAGCTCACCGCCCACACCAGAAAGCAGCTAAAGGAATACCTATCTGCAGCAAAACAATTACTTTTTGTGCCCACATTCTTTTCCAAAACCACTTCCATGACTTACTGGCTTTCTGGTGTGCACGGCACCGGTCCGAGCAGCTCGGGCGGTGTCATCGGCACCCTTGTGCCGACGTGTGGCGAAATCTCCGTTGGAGGAGTGGGAGGAGGCGGGCCAGGCGGAGTTCGTGGGGCCCTTCTTGGACTCCGGGATCGGTCGCGTGGCCGTTCCTCATAAGGACGTGACTCCCACCAGCTTGGGTCGGTGAGAGGTGGCAAAGTCCACGCAGATTCTGGATGGGAACAATGTTGAAGCAATGGGCAGATTTGAAAGGCAGGATTGCAGTGACAGCCGTTGAAAGGGATGAAGCAGACCAGAATTACAAATGCCATTGGAAAGTATTAACAGGATGGTTCGCGTCCAAGGCACTCCCAAAAATCATCCTCATACTGGATCTCCGGACTGTCCGGACGAGGAGCCGCAGCCATGAGGCAATGGCAACGGGAACTAGCAGGAGATAAATAAAAGGGGCCTCTTCGCGGAAATACTGCGGATTCCATCCGTAAACCAAAAAAACTGAAAAAACTGAAAAAACTGAAAAAACTATATTTTTCTAGAACTATGGCTGGGACCCAGATCTAGATATAGTTACCCAAAAATATAGTTTTTTCAGTTTTTTCAGTTTTTTTTAGTTTTTTCAGTTTTTTCAGTTTTTTTCAGTTTAGTCCTGGAGCTAGACATAGTTCCCAAAAATTATAGTTTTTTCAGTTTTTTCAGTTTTTCATTTTTTCTGTTTTTTTAGTTTAGACTTGGGGCTAGACATAGTTCCTAAAATTTATAGTTTTGTTTCAGTGTTTTCAGCTCTAGTTTTTAGTTTTTTTCAGCTTTATTCACTCCAGCTAATAATCTACATAAAATACTGTAAATACCAATACAAATGTAAAAAAGGTAGGTTTTGGGGGGGGTACCATATATATATAATCTATCTATATATATATGTATAATCTATCTATATATATACTGTATATACATACATACATTGTTTACGTTCGTCCATCCCATACCATGAGAATCCAAAGATAACCGACATGTAAGCCCGCCTATGAAGATGGATTCATGACCACCAGCCAAGGACTGGGTAAACAAGCCAACGTTTGAAACGGCACATCTAAGCATCTATTCTTCTGATGAATTGTAAGTTATGTGTTGAATCAAGTATGGGCCAATGGGCTTATGATACTTATGATGGTTATGGTTATGGTCCATAGGTCCATAAGTCATCTAATGTTGCAATAAAAATATATTAAAATCACCATCTTTCGATGGAGTTGTCCTTTTCAATAGAGCTAGCCCTAGTTATCATCCAGCTATGGGGATCCCATCACAACTGGGAGTCGCTGGGCTCTCCGGCAGCCTGCGTCTCCCAAGGCCTGTAGGACAGTGGAAAGGTCGGATGTTGGACCTCGGCACAGGGATCTTGGGGCGGTTTTCCTTGGAAAAAAGTATGGAAGTCTTATTTCTTTGGAGGTTCGTGCTCGTTTTTTCCTTGTGGGATGTGCTTTCCTGGAACTGATGGTCGCTGAAGAGGTCCAATGTTTTTTTTTACATCTGCGGGCACCAGCGGCCACCGGCACCAAAATGCCAACGTCGAGCCCCCAGAATCTTCCCTTTCGAGACATGCCAACGTTCAGTCTTAGAGCAATCCTGATATCTCCACTCTTTTCCGAGGCACAGTAGAAAACCCATCCTGACATCGACACCTCTGGCTCTTTCTTGTCGGAGGGAACCCGACCTGCAGCCATTCTACCAGTTCTATCAATGGTTGACCAGCCGGGAGACCAGGTCTGTGACCAACAAGATGTTTGGAGGACCAAAATCACCCAAGGTCTGAGCCCAGATTCGGAATTTTTGGTAGCAAACGGTCACTTTTGTTAGGGTTTAGTACTCCACGGACACATGTTGAAACCCAAAAAATTGAGGTTTGGGTCCATAGGTCCCAAACCAAGCACTACTACCAGAACTTGCACCAGATCTCACCAGAATTGAAGACTTGAGGTGCCCGCCAAAGATCATTCCCTGCCAGCCGATGCGTCAAAACATAGGCACCCTGTAGTTCAAAACCAAAACAGCGGGATTTCTGGTCGTCCATATGAATATCATTCCATAGGTTCTGATCAATCCCCACTTGCAACACAAGGGTCGACAAAATCACCAGCAACATCAATGCAATTGGTTTCCCTCCAAGCGTAGAAAAGGTCACTTTTGGTACTCTCCCTACTTTTCGGGTGTCTAGGTTTGTATCTTTCACTATGGAAGCTGTTTCTCAAAATTCTTCACCCAATAAGTATAGATCAAAAGTTCTGGTTCTGGAGTTCGATTTTGACCCTGAAAATCCCAACTTGGAGCAGTGCTATGCTGTGCTGATGCACTCCAACGTCTGTCTCAGTTTTGCTGCAAAATTGCTGACCACTTTCACTTAAGATGACCTCGACCAAAATTTTGAGCGCCAAATGAATGCTGAATCAGGAAGTCGTAGGAACACACAATGACATAGCCACATCATCATTCTATCGAAGCATTTTTGGGTTCATTAGTTTCATTCCCCCTTTGGACTCCTGAAACGGAGGGACCCACAGCGCTGGTTTTCCAAATTCATAGCCGAACCTGCAAAAAAAGAATAGGTGGCATCCCCAACAGCAGAGGTGGTAGGAACGTATGATATTACCGCAGTGAATACTGGAGACAGGTGACCCATCCTGGAACCACCCGAACCTTCACCGGAACCTTTATCTCAGCTGAGACCCCCGAGCAAAAAATTGGCTATAGAAATTGCAACAAGACAATCCATTTTCCTACTACTCGTCAGTCAGTTTACCTCTATTTTGATGCTTAAACCCCCTGGCGCGATTGACGATAATAGCTATGAAACCAGAGGATGAACATCCACAAGAACCAGCTATGAACATCAGGGTTTAGAATCTTTAGAATGGTTTAGACCAATATGTTCTATGAAAAAACAGCTCCATAGTTTGTGACTTTGTCTGAAAGTAGGGCACCTCTACTTAACTCTGGTTAAGTTATTATAGTTTCCCTTAAAATTACAGTAAGATTGCCATTTGGAGATCTTGAAAATTTTGAGACACACCCTGCTGACAAAGTGGGACCTTCAAGGACTGTCTTCGACTCCGAGTGCTGGCCGCACTACTGGGACCTGGGATCCAACAGAATGGGGGATGGTAATGTGGTAAAGCTGAAAATCATCCCCCTATAAGCCTCTTGTTTTTGTGAGACAAAGCTTTTGTGAATCCCCTCTTCAATCAAAGGTGGAAGCGTGGATACGTCTATATGATTCTATATGAACCTTCGAACCTTCACAGAGGCTGAGGAATGAAGAAAAAAATGACATGAGTCTGAGACCGATTTAAGCTACACTACAGATGTGTCCATTTCAAGTTTTCAGTGGCACGGCTGTCCACACAGTCACATCAAGGTGAAGGGGAGTTACGGGTTTACCTGCTCAGCCTTTGCAGGGTCCCAGCTCCAATTGGAACTGGGGTTGTAACTACCCAGCTCACATCTATGTTTCTTGCTTGGCACGTTACATGCCAGTGTAGCCAAAAAAAAATCCTCTTCTTTGCTGGTTGAAGCCTCCATATTTGCTGAAGTCCCAAGTTCTGCTGAAATCTATCACCCAACAGAGCGGAATCGCTCCACAGGGCATCCAGGATCCACACGTTGGGTCATCGCCATCGCTGGAGATAGTGCAATGGCCACAACGCTCATCCCCTGCGGGTGCCGCCCCATCATGGCCATCGAGAAATCTAAACCGTTTCTGTACCCAGCAAGTGTTTAAAGCGCACCCTGGCGCGGTATATACATGTATATCTATACAAAAATCTAAACCTATACCTATACCTATAGATATCCATATGTCATATGCAAATACATATGCAAATACATATGCAAATACATATGCAAATGCATATACAGCATCTATGTTGCATCTTGTCATTTCCTGTCCTGCTCCTTCGGTGTCCTGGAATCTACGCTGCATGGTCTTGTAGCCATTAGTGCTCTGTCCAAAAATAGGCACATCCCCAATTTATGGTAGAGAAAATCATGAAAAACCAGGAGTTTGGGGGGCATCCTGCTTCGTATCCAAAATAAGTCAGTTAGTCAAAACCCAATTCTTTCCAGCCCGAAGGAGACTTATCCAAACTCCAGCGGTTTTTGTTGGGAAGTAATTTGGGGCAACTTTGTTGGATCTCAATATAAAGATCTTAATAGTGAAGGCTGATATACAAAAAATGGATTCACTATGGATTCACTATGGATTCACACTATCAATTAAGATCTTTTGATTCACTATGGATTCACTATTCAAAAAAGATCATCCAATGGATTCAGGTAAGAAACTGCTAGACCGGATTGGATGATTCTCACAAAGCGATCAACGTAGAAATCAACTCTTCACGAAATCCTTTGGGTTGTTTATGCCGATGCTAAACTGAATCCCAAGTACGCAAAAACGAATTTGCCTCACAAAGAAATGGCCAAAGAATATACCCCACAAATACCTGAAATCTCAAACATTTCAGATATTTCAGAAAAATTGTAGATGTTCCCCTGTTTTCCCCAATCTGTTCAGGTTTAAAAAAAAATGTGCCTTGGCCATAGGCCCTGTACAGCTTGCAGTTGACACCTCTGAGTTAAGCAAAGGCACCACCTGGGCAAAGTTGCCACTCGCTAGTGTATGGTTAATCTATGGCTAAGAACACTATATTCTATAGCATATGTATATAATTTGTGTATAGTACCTATATAATCTATGAAAACGCTATATTCTATAGCATATGTTCTATGGCTAAGCAAGAAACATCATGCTCAGCAATATATTTCATGGCACTATGGCATACATATGCTATGATGAGGTGCTGGGCATGGGGGTACAACAAAGGAAAATTACCCTCTGGCCGTAGCTATATTGGACTACAGGAAGCTAATGCATGGTAAATGGCTGGTATGGATGGTAAATGGATGTTCTCCAATCAACTCAAAAAAATATGGGAGTGCTGGGATTTCATTTCATTTCGATGCTTGAAAAGGTAGTTGCCTTTGTTGCGACTTGCACAGATTCTTGAATTGCAAAAGCACTCATTGAACAAAAGAAATTGCCCATCATCATATCTTGTCAGGTTCAAAGCCTTGTTTTGGCGGGTGAAGGTCTATTGGATTGTCGATAAAAAAACACCAAGTAGGCCGGCCACGGGAAAATGGAATTAGCTTTGAAATGGTCAAAACATAGGATGAATGTGGCACGGTCATTCAACCCATGATGTGGACAATTGACCATCCCCACCTTCCACCAGTCGCACCGCACCTGACTTACCCCTTGGCAAGAAAAAACGAACTCTCCTCCACCAGTCATTTCACTGGGACTGGCTACCCTGTCTCGAAGAAACACATCTGGATTCAGGGAGGAAGCAACCATCTTCATGAAAAGACTGCAAAGATCGAAAAAAGTACTTAGCAGCCATCCAAGAATGCTGGGATGCAACCACCAAGAAACCACCAATGACTTTGGGAGCCACCAAGGATGTTGAGCAAACCCTGAGCCCATTTAAGGTGGTACTGACCGGAAGCCTAGGTTGAAATCGACCGGAAAATGTTGTTCCTTTTGTTCGAAAAATCACAGGGGTGGTCCCTATTATGTTACTCTCATCCATGGGAAAGCACAAGAAATGCTTCAAACGATGCAAGAAGATTGAATAGTTGGTGAGCTAGTGAGCATCCAGTGGGATATTTTTCAACAAAACTTAGCAATGTTCAGAACCCAAAATGTCACAACCCATTGTAGTGGTTTATGAACTGGGCTACAAAAAAACCGGATGACGATGAGTCTCTGATGCACGGAGTTTTCGCGCCCGCTAAAAGAAGCACACCTCTTGCAATAAAAAAAACAAAAGACTTCGAATGACTTAAGACATCTACATTTACAAATATTACATGATTATACATATATATATATATATTATAGATATATATATATATATATATAATTATATATAATATGTGTGTTTAAGATTAACATTTAACATCTACATCCTCCATACATTTTACATCTGTGACTGCAAGGTGACCTGCTCCTGTCGACAGCCAAGTTCGGATTAATCCTGAGCCACCGAGCAGGGCATGGCTTGGCTAACTGCAAATGTCCGGTGATTGGGTGCTGATTCAATGCTGATTTAGTGGGATTTAATACTAATTTAGAGGGATTCAATGCTGATTTAGTGGGATTCAATGCTGATTTAGTGGATTTAGAGGCTTTAGTACTGATTTAGTGGGATTTAATGCTATATAATTTAGAGGGATTCGATGCTGATTTCGTGGATTTAAATGCGTTAATACTGATTTAGTGGGATTTAATGCTGATTTAGTGGGATTCAATGCTGATTTAGTGGATTCAGATGCTTTAATACTGATTTCGTGGGATTTGATACTGATTTAGTGGGATTCAATGCTGATTTAGTGGATTTAAAACTTGAATACTGATTTAGTGGGATTTAATTCTGATTTAGTGTTCATTTCATGCTGGTTTGGGATTTAATGCTGATTTAGTGAGATTTAATGCTGATTTAGCGCTCATTAATGCTGGTTCGGGATTTAATGCTGATTTAGTGTTCATTTCATGCTGGTTTGGGATTTAATGCTGCATTAGTCCTCATTTAATGCTTGTTTTTTGGATTTAATGCTGATTTAGTGTTCATTTAATGCTGGTTTGGGATTTAGTGTTGATTTAGTGGGATTTAATGCTGATTTAGGGCTCATTTAATGCTGGTTTGGGATTTGATGCTGATTTAGTGCTCATTTAATGCTGATTTAGTGCTCATTTCATGCTGGTTTGGGATTTGATGCTGATTTAGTGCTCATTTAATACGGATTTAGTGGGATTTAATGCTGGATTGGAGTTTTTCATATTGATTTAGTGGGAGTTAATGCTGATTCAGTGCTCGATGATTCCGCTCATGTGCAGCAACCTTCCATATCTGTGTCTCGTCCTTGTTCTTGTCCACCCCTATCTCGATGCAGGGGCAAAGTTCAAGCGTGCAGGGGTATTTGTAAGGACAATAGTTTTCCTTCTTTTCGTCTTGCGGGTCTTGAAGAACACTGTCAAGATTGCGTAGCTGGACGAATTTCCTTTTCCTTTTTTCAGCAACTTCAAAACCAGTATTGTGTTTCGCATATTGTTTTCGCTACTGTTGTCGCGCCGACAAATCACTTTCATCACCTCACGCTTGAAAACACGGGCCTGCTTCGGAAAATATCACGTCCGTACGCGCAAGCCGTCTTGCAGTATTTCCAAATGGTGAACGGATTCCTTGGTTGCTCCTGTTTTTAGATTTTTGCTCACCAAAAAAATATTTGAAAACATGGGTCTCCATATCCAGCTTGACAAATCCAATTCAACCTGCGTGGATTTTGGTGGTCGATTGTCTGGTTTTTTCGGAGATCTCAATTTTTCTGTCCCTTCCAGGAGGTATTTTTTTGTTTCTCTTGCTATCAAAAACCTTGCACGGAACCTTGGTGGATCAGTTACTCTATTCGTGAACATTTGAAAAACCTTCAGATCCCAAGCGATTTCACGTGAATCAGCAGGAAACAGCGACCCGGGCACCTGTTGATTTGACGTTGCACATTTAATTTAGCGCTACGCTGTCTTTTGCTGCTTGCTGTTGCGCTCGAGAGGCCGGCAGTTTGAATTGGGGAAAAAATGATTCAGTGCTCATTTAATGCTGGTTTGGGATTTAATGCTGATTTAGTGCTCATCTAATGCTGGTTTGGGATTTAAGGCTGATTTAGAGGCTTTAATGCATATTTAGTAGAATTTCATGCTGATTTACAGGCTTTAATACTGAGATTCAATGCTGAATTAGTGGCATTTCATGCTGATTTAGAGGCTTTGATGCGGATTTAGAGGGATTTAATGCTGATTTAGTGGCGTTTAATGCTGATTTAGTGGGATTCAATGGTGATTCAGTTGGATTTTGCCAGCAAATTCAAAGTTTGACTTGACAATCGCCAATTGTGAGCGGAAACTGGGTAATCTTATCGCGGGATATTTGGGAGAGTCGTCATGTACCAAGGACTTCTTTTGGAATCTATCAGAGATCCCGAGAATGATTCCCCATTTGGGGCAGTGACAAAACATTAATTTGCCATGAAAAATATGAAGACTTCCTTATGAGATTTCCCAGGTTTCATGTTTATATAATGCCATCACAATTCTGGCAACGGTTCCATACATCACTTCCCACCACTACTGGTTCCATGCTTGTTCGCGGAAATTGGTTACTTATCCCGTTTGGTATGTAGTTTCAGCCAGTATCAACAGCATCAAAATCTGGCGAAATTCTCAACAATTCGCGGAAGAAATCTGGAAAGGTGGCCATAATTTGGATCATCTCTCACATCACATATACCATCTGGTTATTTAACATAGCCATGGAAAATCACCATTTTTTATAGGTAAACCATCTATAAATGGGCTATTTTCCATGGCTATGTTAAATAACCAGAGGGTAAAAATCTAAGATCAACAGAGTACATCCACGGATCCTGGCTTAAGCAGTCGCTGTAACTGTAACTGACCGGGCGGCGATGTTGTCGCACTCCGATGTTGGTGTCGGCTGCCTTGGGCCCACAAACTGTGGATTTCAAACGAATAGCTGCACCACATTCTGCCAGGGTTTCTTGGGTGTGCACCAAAAGGGGGAAGAGATTGATGACAACAAACAAAAAACAAAACACAAAGTGTGCATCATATAATTGATTTGTTGTTAATAGGAAGCAACATGGTTATTATTGCAACCAATAAACATGTGGACCATGAGAAAAATAGAAGCTGAGCGCAGCAGAATTTGAAATTACCATTCCAACTATGATGGTGAGAGTTAGAACCCCAGGGTTTGAGAACAACCAGTATTCCCAAGTCCAATGCAAAGAAGCATTCTGATGCTGATGAGCTTGCCCTTTGCATGTGCCATTGCGATGGAAAAGCATGGTTTGCGGCTGAAAGCGGAGTGAAAGATCCCTCAAACCCAGCTATTGGAGGCCTTAGCAGACCAAAATTTGGCCGAATGATTTTCAATCATTGTCTGGTTCATATCCCAAAAATCAGCACTGGGCTGTTCACATACCGTTTTAAGATGTTTTAAGATGTTTGGATGCATACTCAGATGGATTTACCAAGCCTCCAATTCACATGCCCCCATGAAATTCACGGGGCCATGAAACCGCTGCGGTGGCCATCTCTCTGGCATTCTTGCAGCCCAGAAAGGAGACAGACCTCAACCCCCAGGACCCCCAGGACCATGGAAAAAAACATGGCTTCTCAAAAACAGGAACTGGATGATAACATATGATAACCATCATGGTTATGAATCATTATATATCATTATGAATTTCATGGTTATTACCTATCCTGCTATTTATGTGTGTATCCACATAGAGCAATGGCCGGAGCCTTGCCGCCTTGGGGCCGGGCTGCTTCGAAGGCGTAGAGTGCACCGGATGCAGGTCGAAACTCTCAAAGCCCGATAGCTCCTGCTCCTGAGAACGCTTGGGCTTTTATCGGGATGTATCGAACTGATTGGGGATACGAACCAACATGGGGGCCCCACTAAGTCACTATGCAAGAACTTTGGGATCGGCGAGATCTTTGTTCAGCTGCCGGAGCATGGGGGTCATTTCCTGGCGAAACCATGTGGGATTCATTATGAAAAAAAGACACAACCACATGCTAGAGACAGGAAGAATCCCCTAAGTGAAAGAGTAAAATCATGTCTCATTCTCAAGTTTTTCTAGGATCATTAAAACATATTAAAACTATGCTAGAGTTAGCTTTGGTCTATCCTTCTCAGTGCAGTTGGACTGATTTTTAGTCGCTATATTAACTTTAGGTGAGTCAGTTCACCCACTGGGAAAATCCTCCGGCCACCAGCAGGCACTCCTCCTCGTCCCCGGTCGACTCCTAAAAACCACAGCAGTCGAAAAAAAAAACGCCCGCGACCTGTACAAAAGCCATCGACACGCGCCTCCTCGGACTCACTTTCCAAGTCCGACTTGTCAGCTTCGGAGGATGACCTCAGAAAAAAAGACCAACAAAAAAGGTGGGATGTCGATGAGAAACCAAAAACAGATGGTGATTTTATCATGAAAGACTTGGATTCTACGGAGAAAAGGTCATTTTTTTCGCCATGAAAATCATCAAAAACTCAGATATCACCAACAGAAATTGTGATAAAAAACCGCTTTCCATTGGGATTTCAGCATCAAGATGAACTGCATTCCATGATGATCTAAAAAATCATTACAAACCTACCTATCGACAAGTGCCACATGGGTCAAAACCCTGGCACCATGTAGTTCATGCAACTTTTTGTTGACAAATAGATGAGAAAATTCCCTCGTTTTATCTGCTATTCCATTGGTTTTCATCCATCATGTGTTAAAAAATTGGAACAAAAATCCGAAAGAAGAACTCCGACCGAGGGTGACCTCGGATCCAGGTGTCCCGGCTCAAAATCCACGGGAGCCCTGAGCCGTTTGTAGAAGTTTATGGCTTTGTCCAAGATTTTTTTTCAGAGATGAGATGGGGCAAAAAAAACGTGATTGTCATTGATTGTTCGAGTTTTTCTGGTTTTTGTCCAAGTCTATGAGGGGGTTGTGTACTCAGGGGGAAACCATGGGATTTGGACGCTCAGACTATGATTTTCAGGGCTAAAATTCTTGTGGCAACCCCCATAAGTTGGGATGTGGCATCCCCATGTGGTAAGATATATCCACTTAGTTTACTGGAACTGCAGCCCAAGGAGTGTTGGGACCTTTACACCTGATATTCACATGGGACAAGCACCACTTGGGCCCGCACTCAGCCACGGAGAAGGATATGGAACTGTTTGACAGGCGTTCACTGAGGTTGTCCTTGTCAGCAGAGGTCTTGTATCATTACTGTATTGCCGTTGAATCAATTGAATCAAGTTGAATCCGAGATTTTGCTGGCCCACTTGTTAAATACTACACTTTGCAGATGTAGAAAGTTGGGGGCCCAGCTGGCCCAAACAAAACATCTAATTGCGGTCCAGCAAGTTCAAAATAGTGTTTGGGTTATGTTTTTGCAACCAAACTTCGTTTTTTTTTCAATTTTGATCTTCAATCCAAAAAAAATGATGCGTGGCAAAAAAGTGAATGTGGGAAACCCAATGATAAGCCTACCATTTGGGGATGGTTTATACGATCCATTTATGCTGAGATTGAGATGGTTTATGGCATTGGGTTTACCATATGCGTTGCTCGTCCACTAACCAACGTCGACGCAGAATTTAGGGACAGATAGCATCTCTTCCACCCAAACAAGTTGCCACTGTTTTGCAAAAAGTTGTTTATACACTCACAATTTCGTGTTGTGTCTCGATTCATACACTCACAAACTCTCATACATCGTCCAAGATGTAGATATATTCATAAACATGTATGTATATATATATAGACATATGTTTATAAACATGTATGTCGTATAAGTTGTAGATAAACATACACTCATGATGCATATATAGTGCCTGCATCCACAAATGTTTATCCAGAACTTGAGCTGGAAGCTCGGCCACCTTTGGGCAGCTGAGTCGCAATGCTGGGGTTTGCTCGGCCCTCCTGGTTCCTAGGCATCGCCGAACAGGCATTTTTTGGCATTTAAGAACCAATGGTGGACGCCGTCTGCCATGGTCAAAACATGGGACATCTAGCATCATCCATCCCATACTTGGAATCGTCTTACTATATGTGTGCATATAAATATGTGTATATATATATATATATGTAGCCCTATTCATGGATGGATGATCATCCCCCAATATGAGTTTATAATCCAATTTTTGACACGGGGCTTGCGGAGTCGACGCCCAGAGTCATCCAATCCCAGGCACTGGTGGCGGGTACTGGAGACCAATGTGAGAAAAAAAAGAGCGCAAATTCACCAGCTGAACGCATAGCTGAATTATCCACCACCTTTTTGCTTCGCGTTGCGGATCTTCTTCATTTGAGCACTGTAGCTGTTGAACCTCTCAACCACACTCAGCTCATCCACTGCAGCAAATGTAAGAGTTGGCACAACGTTGGGTTGAAAGAGTGGCGTGTTGAGGACTCCACCACCATTCAAAGAACAGATGTAGTCCCGTACAAATTGTAATGTTGCTTGAAAGTTGGGCAATCTTGGACGACAAGGCACACCCGCAACCGGCGGTCAAAATCCCAATCAAGTCAAAGATGTGCACTTGTGTGTAGAGATGTTTGGCAAAAGTCTGCCCTCTAGCACCGTCTCGAGATTTTGTATCAGATGACGAAGACAAAGACCCTGCAGTGCCGCTGTCCTTCTGTTTCCAGGCAACAACATGGCCTCATTCGATCTGTAAGGTGCATATTTGGACTTGCCACCTGCACCAGTAATGCCCACTGGAAATTGATAACCCGTAGACCCGTAGCTAAGTAAAAGCTCACTGCCGTCTCAATCCACGACATGCCCCAATCTGAGGCATCATTTTCCTTAGCATCAGGTGGCCACTTCAACGATTCAAGCCATGTCTTCAGAGCCTTGCCAAGATTGGCTCCTTGCAGGCACATCTGAAAACATTCATCCTCACATGCACAATTGCCGGACATACCAAGAAGGTCTGAGGTTCGAAGTTTTTGAGCAATGTAAACGCATCAGGACCCATTGCTTGAGAACCAAAAAGGCGAACGACTCTCTGTGGGGCAGCTCTGGGGATCTGCAATGACGTCAACTGTGTGCCTTGTTCTTTTTAGAGTTCGTTCAAGGCAGTCAGTCTTGACCTTTTGAACTCCACCAAGTAGCACAAAAAGTCATGAAAGTTCCATTCTTCCTGAACTATGCGAGCAGCAATCGAGTCAGACAGGTGCCTGATCTCCTGTGGGATTGCATGAAGTGCTCAGTGGCCGCAATGTCGGCACAATGGTTACCCACCATCATCCACAACTCCAAATAACTGGGCGCCTTCCCAAAGGGAACATGGCTTTTTACTTCGTGACTTTGTATTTCTCTTTGTCCCAAACATGCGCAATCTCACAGATAGTATCCAAGCTGGGGATCTTATGAGAAATCAAGAGCCACATCCCAGTCTCGATTGCCCTGATGATATTGCAAACAGAACTAGCGTCTGTAACAAACTCTGCGGTAGCTTCAGCATCATGAGAATGCACTGACAACAGCGCTGTGCGGATTGCAAAGAGTCTTGCTCTTGAGACAACTTGATCACCAGGAACCAAACCAATAGCTAGAGTGCGAAAGGCAGGAAAGCAAGGTTCAGGCCCAAATGCAAAATCCAGAGAAGACTTTCTTTCGGCATCATTAGACGCTACATCTTGGACAACTGACCAACAGACAATTCTTGCATCGGCATGTCTCGGGTGTATGGCTCCTCTCTGGGGTGGCTTTTTGATTGCTTTGATCCAAGCACGCAAGAGCACACCCATCCTTGTCTGTCATGAGGCAGATATGGCACACTAGTTCCCATTTGTCCCTCAACTGTGAGAAGAGAGAACATTGCAAAAGTCTGTGTTCTCTCGTGTCCGATGCACCACACAGTTCGCAAGAGCCGGTGGTTTCCTCATCCCATGTGGCTTTCATAGAGCCAGCCTACCAAATTCAATTTGACCAATTGCTGTTCATCATCTTGTAATTTTGAGAACATCCTGATCGCAATCTTCGGGTCAGGCAAGTCTGACATGGAAACCATGGAAAAAATCCACATTGCTCGGAAAACATACATAATAAATATGGCATGAGTCCGACAAAATGTCCATCCAGAAAACCCCTAATTGAAAAAGTTCCAGGGAGGTATAGGCGCCTTGGTTGTCTGGAAAAGTCTTCTTACCAGGATCGGCAATCACCCCAGCTTCTAATGCGGTTGCCTCCAGCATGGATCCCACATCGAGACGACATGCTGGCACTGCGACTTTGTCACCTTCATATTCCAGCTACCGGACAGGTCATGTGCACACCTTCTGTGGGCAAAGTTGTAGTTCTCAAAGGGTTTCTTGACAATGGGGCTATCGGTGATCATCATCACATCGCAAGTCTCATGATTCAGAGACATTGTTACTGCAGGGGACCTCCCAACCAACACAGTGCATCAATCATAGCAAGGGCAAATTGATGTTGTGCAACAATACTTCTTAGCAGAATCGACACAGTGCATGAACGGGCTCTTCCCAATGAGTAATGGCATGGCTTAAATTGGATTCTGACAGCACAAGTCAGATTACCGACCCCACCACGTGGACGTTTTGAGCCCAGAGGCTATCCAACTTTTGACCATGGCACATGTAAGCCACGAAGGCGAGGGGATGTTTTTCCTCGATATCAAGGATTCATGGGCGGATGACTACATGGTTCTTGGTATGACTACTAGGCACACATCATGATTTGGGGAATCGAAGCGACTTTATCTTGGGATGTTACCAACACTACAAAGGTTTGGCTCCTAAAATAGACCACTTCATTGGACTGGAGCCTCCAATCTTTTTATATGCTCAGTTGGCCAAAGATCATTGGACTTCTCGGCCCAAAAATTTTGGAGCCCAACATCTTGACCTGCAGCGTTCCAACATGTTCGAAGAAGCTACGGTACTGAAGGTGATGGAACCCTGATTTGTACTTCATCCTGCCTCGTTGATGGTTGATGATGGTTGATGATGGTTCATGATGGTTGATGATGGTTGATGATGGTTGATTGTGAACCAATGTCCACCCATGAAGAATGCATCTCCAAAAGGAGGGCTTACATAAACCGATCCAAAGAACATGTGGGGATTGCTGTCACCAGCATCGAATAGGCAGTTTCCATTCAGGACTTGCTGGCATACATGGTGTTTCACTGGATAAAGTTGATACCCAAAAAACAGAAGTCGAAATACAATGACCCAAATCTGTGGATGGCGCACTCCAATACTCAAGTTTTTGCTTGCCTGAGTCTTGGGTGCCTATACTATAGTACTTCTTACAGCATCTCTACTTTCTCGGCTGTATTGGACTTGCCTCACACAAATATCGCTCGTTGGAGGCTACACTGCAGTGCACCATCTTTCCCTGAACCCCCTCACTTTGACCAGCAAAAATGGCTCATACTCAAACCCCAAAAATGATCATAGATATTAGATATATTGTACAGCACATGTGAAATATAATGGGGACATATACTTTATGAATCTTTGTGATATATGTTTCGACTTTGCTTGCCGTTTGTGACCTGAGCTAACAATGAAACTCTGCGATGAATTCAAAGCCTGTACAATAGAATTATGTACACAATTACACGAAATAGATAGAACCATAAAGTCCTACCAAAATAGTAATAATTTCACCCCTGTCTTTTTTTTGGTGGTTGCTATATATATATGTGTGTGTGTATACAGTATACTTGGGCAGTTGAAGTTGCTGGGTACAACCATGGCTATCCCATATGTTGGGTTTAAAAAAAACAACGGGAACTGAGACCTGGACGCCTTTCGGTGCGGCGAGCCCTGCTTCAGGTGATTCGGCCGAGAAGGCCTAAAAAAGTTGGACAGTCGGGGCGGTTGTAGGTGCAATGTGATAGGGGATAGAATGGGATAGAAAAGAATAGATACACAAATCTACAGTAGGTATATAGTAGGCATATAGTCAGTATATAGTAGATTTTTAAGCATATATAGTAAATATAGTGGATATATATATATATATATGTATATATTGTTTATATATATATATATGTGTATATATTGTTTATATATATATGTATATGTATATATGTATATATGTACAATAGATACGTATATACATAACTATTGCAGATATTGTGTGAATATATATATATAGTGCATAGATAGATAGATGGATGGATGGATAGATAGATAGATAGATAAATAGATAGGTAGATAGATAGACAGATAGCTAGTAGATACGTGTGTATGTATATATATATGTATGTAATAGATATCTATATGTAGCATATCGTTGATAAATAATATGTAAATGCCTATGGCATCGATATACAGTAGATATGCATGGTCTATATATATATATATAGTGAACATATAGTAAACATATAGTTCATTTACAGTGGATATATAGTAAATGTGCGTATATACATATAGTAGATGTGAGTAGATGACATGCATATATAATATTTAAACATACATATATATATATGCATGATATACATAATATATATATATATACATACATTGTATATTTAATAAATAGATGTGTGCATATACATACATACATACATACGTACGTACGTACATACATTACATTACATTACATTACATTACATTACAGTACAGTACATTACATTACATTACATTACATACATACATACATGCCATGCCGTGCCGTGCCGTGCCGTGCCATGCCATGCCATGCCATAACATTACATTACATTACATTACATTACATTACTTTAGATCTCAGGAAAATCCAAGACAAAGTGGAGGAATGCCCGACATAACTTTGAGCCCCCAGGGGCCAAAGATGGCATTCTGAAGTTGATCTTCAACTGGGCCCTCCAAGGGCTGCTCTGTTCCTCCAGAATATACAAGTCTTATATATATATATATAGGAGATATTTAGTAGATGTATAGTTGATATAGTGGATATACCTCCAGATATA